TTTTCAAATTTTCACAATCTAATTTTCATTATATCTTATCTCGTTCATTTGCGCTTTTGCAGCTGAAGATGATGGTTCGGTAAAACCATCGAAACTAGTCCTGTGAAAATTTGAAAATATAACGCTGATTTTTGTTCTTTGACTTCCAAATTAATTGCTTTGTTTGTTATTAATATTTCTCATCCTTCCTATTTCAGATAAAATTTACTAGTGTTTCTTGGACAGGAAAGCAAGAATTTTTAATTTGAATCCATAAATTTATGATACACTGAAAACGGTTTCATGTTATAATTCCCTTTCTGAATATCTTGAACGTATATGAAAAAGTAAAATGCAAATTTAATATTAATATTACCACCCTTAAAAATACCCAAATATTTCGTTTATTAGTCTCTTAAAACTACGTAATAATTAAGGAAAAAAGAAATTATTTAAAATTATTATTAGTTGCCTGCAGTCGAAGAATATAGGAAAATGCAGAAGGTTTTAAAGATTTTTAATTAATGACAAAAATACAGAAAATCGGAAATAATACGAAATGTTTCAGCAATATCTCAGAAGGAATGAAAGTTGCACCAGATATTTGTCAGAATATAATTTTAGTGATAGTAGTTTAATCAGTCTGCATTGAAATTCCGGTGATAATCAGTGACATACAGATTTAGGTTACTTGGGTTAAAAATGCGTAATAATTTAAAATTTAACCGGGTAAATTTTAAAACCAATTTATTTAAAAACTAGCAGCTTCACTGCGAGCCTTCGTCTGGCTTTCAAATGTACCGGAAAAATGGCTGAAGGGAACTCCAAACGTTAAATTTAAATACTGCGTAGGATTTTACTCTGCAGAACAACTTCATAAAAAAAGTTATTACGTATAACAAAAATACAATGAAATAAGCAATATCCCTTAATACAAATATTAATTACCCTAATAAAAAATTAACCAAATTCCCTTTGCAAAATCTTAAGAACTCAAATGGTATTAAAGGAGGTTAAGAACTTTGTTTCCTAAAAAAAATCAGTCAAAACTTTTCAATATCTTAAAAACAGTGAAAATGAGCAATAAATAAATAAAGGAATGCAAAAAACAAAAAATTCTGAAAAGCAAAGTATAATTAATGATATTTTATCTTATGTTTTCAAGGGAAAAAATTTCAATGAAATAAGCTATATCTCTTAATACAAATATTAATTATCCTAATTAAAAATGAAAGCAACTCAAAAAACATAAAATTCCGCGTAGAATTTTACTTCACAGAACAACTTTATCAAAAAAAAAAAAAAAAAAATCAGTAAAAATATATTATATTTATATAAAAATGACAATGAAATATGCCAATCTCTTAAAAACAGTGACATAAGAAATACGATGAAAAATTGTTGCCAAACCCATATTTCTAAAAGAATGAAACTATTCAAAATGATGCGATTTCATCAAAAATCTATCAACAACAATAAGACAGGAAAATTGTTGCCAAAATCACATTTTTAAAGATGTGAGAACTGTACTCGGAAGCTTCATTTAAAAAATCTTTTAAAAATACAAAATATTATCATTTTTCCAAAATTCTTTTGTAAAAGCATTCGCAAGGATGAAAGTTTAACGTGTTTCAAAAATCAAAGAAAAATAAACTGTACATTTTTAAAAATAAACTTTTTTAGAAAAAATCCCATTGAAAAAGTGTTAAGCTCCCTTTGTTAAATAAATTCGTATTTAATCGATTTATTGAAACACGAAATTTATTTTAAGTTCGTAAAATAGCTAAGTGCCTACGTTTTGTGTTGAAGTGAAAATGGAGTGTGTAGAGTAAAATCTCGCTTTCCTATAGCCCATTATGTTTCAAAATGACACGATTTCGTCACAAAAACATGAAATAAAAAAAAATCGAATTTCGAAAAAATCGCTTCGAAGTGCACTGGCTCTTGTGTAGATGTACCTATGTACCAAATTTCGTAGCCGTGGGTCTATTAGCTTACGCGCAGCGCGAACGAAAGGCACACACACAGACAGACTCTTTCTTTTATTATATGTAGAGAAGATATGTAGAGATAAGATTGTTTAAGGGAAGAAAACTTTTACGTTTCGCAGCTGTACCCTGCGGCTTTAAGACGGTCATCACGGAGAGTCTAGCCTTTTGCAATTCTCTTGAGAGCTCACATAGATGCGAACAATATATAGCAATCAATCTCACTTAGCGGAATCATTGAAGTAAAATTCTGGGAGGGATGGGAAGTAACAAAAGAACTGCTTGACAATTTTCAGAGGTTTAGGGTTATTTTCGCGACATTTTACGGGAAGCTCGGTCCAAAACTAGCGACAGTTTTAAAGGGATTCACAGAAAATCACTCGACAGGCTAAGGGTTAAATGCATTATTAAATATTTTGGATTCAAATGAGAGTACAATACAAACGATCCTCAAAATATGCAAGTAGCTCAAACACCTTTCCTTACAGCTCAGATTTAGCTCCGAATGATTATTATCTATTCTTTAAATGGAAATCTGAACTTTGGTGAAAGAAATTGAGTGATGATGATAGCTTGAAAAGAGCAATTGCAGAACATTTTGCAAGCAAACCTTCAGATAACTTTTTTTAGGGGCATAGAGTTGTGTAGTAAATGATGTGAAAAGTATATCAAGGAACAGAAAATCACATTGTGAAATGAACTAATAAAAGTTTCTGTCTTTTGTCTCCCTTTTTTTTTCGGGGGTGTATAATTTTGGCTCTGTTTATGTGGGGGTTAGGATTCCCAACATCCTGAGCAATTCCAAATCAGGCATATATTTTTTCCCTCAAAAACATAAACAATTAATAATCTGTTGTGAAACAAAAAGCTTATCGGTAAGATACAGTTAAACTATACATCTGTTTATGTATTGCATTTTAAAAAGAAATCAAAGATGAAGAAATACATGTGTATTTCCATCCATCTAATTATGTTTGTAAGCTTAGATTGTTTTCTTACAAATGGTCTTATCAGTTTATATCTGCAGTCATATTGCCATGTAAGTTATAAAACATGGAGCATATAATATGCATTATTATCATTATACATGAAAAATAAAATACATTTTGTAATAAATAAGGTATTTGGAAAATTAATGCTATATATCAAGCAATTCAATTCTTTAGTTGGCCTGACTTTTCTTTTGCGTATTTTTAGGATAACTAAATGTACAAATTATTGTTACTTTAGATTTTCATTAAACTTTTAACATAATAAGTAAATGATAAGATATGTGATGAATTCGGAGAGAGCTTTAAAAAAGTCATGCTTTACTGCAATGTAGCTAAACTGCAATGTAGGATAATAAACATTTAATATGTGTAAAAGTAAATGGAACCAACCGTATTCATAATTTTGTATAATTGGCAAATTGTATTATGTAGTGTATTTGAATATGGGTTTTTATTATTATTCATTTACACTCTTTTTATAGTAATAAATGATTAAATGAACTAAAATCTTGACACATGTTAACTGCTGCAAATACCTAAAGATTTTTTAATGTATTTATTTAAATAAAATCTAAGTACACTGACTACCAATAAGTATTTAGACACCAGTGATAGAAAAGAAAAACTAACTTTATTCAAAATCGGAAGTTGGTAGAGCCTTCATGAGAGGTAATTACAGCGTGGACCCTCCAGGGCATACTTTCCACAAGTCTTTGTATGACAGCTAGTGGTATTTTCTTCCACACGGCTTGGAGAAGACATAGAAGTTCCTTCACCGATTTTGCATGGGTAGTGCACCCTTGAATTCGGCGATGCAACTCGTCCCAGAGGTTCTCGATAGGGTTCAGGTCTGGACTCTGGGCAGGCCAGTCCATTCGATGAACTCCATTGGCACCATACCAAGCCTTGGTTAACATCGAAACATGACAACTGGCATTGTCATTCTGAAAGTAACAGTGGTCCAACCCGTAGAACTGCCACAACGTAGGAAGCACATTGTCATCCAAAATAGTGCAGTAGGCATCGGAGTTGAGCTTACCATGAATGGGGACCAAGGGTCCCAGTCCATCCATACCAGGAAACACACACCCAGATCATAATTCCACCTCCGCCGAACTTGACTGTTGGCACAATGCATTCTGGCAAAGACGTTCTCCAGGTAGACGGCAGACCCAGACCCTGCCATCCGAACAGTAAAGGGTGAACCTTGATTCGTCACTCCAAAGAACCCATTTCCACTGATCTACGGTCCAATTTCGATGTGCTTTGCACCACATTAACCGAGCAGCACGGTTGGACTTTGTGATCAAAGGCTTATGGGCAGCAGCACGACCATGAAAACCAAGCAGATGTGTTTCCTTATGGATGGTATTCATTGAAACAATACTCCCGGATGCCAATGAAACTCCTCGCGGATGAGGGCCATTGGTTGGGTGCGGTTCTTCCGAATTTCTCTGGACAGCACTCGTCGATCTCTATCTCCCAGTTTCGTTGGTCTGCCGACTCGGGGCACATTCCGACAATCACCGCTCACCTTCCACTTCTTAATCACATAGGCCACTGTCGATTTTGGGTACTTCAAATCGCTAGATATGTCGGCCACATTTGTGATACCCTATAATTATACCTTTCTCGAAATCAGAGAGCTCCGAACTGCGAGGCATCTTGCATGCGACTAAAGCCGATGCTGTTTCTTACACGATATATACCGGCAGAGTCCGTGAAATACCTTAGGACCACAGATATCATCATTTGCATAGGTGTCCAAATACTTATTGGTAGTCAGTGTATAAGTGAAATTGCACCATTCAAATCTACATAATTTATGAATCAACTTTTTTTAAACCTTTTTGTGATATATGTGGGGCTACTGATTTTTAGTGAGTTGCAAAAAAAAAAAATTATAAAATCTTTAATGTTATGAATGTCTTTCTTCTGGAATGTAAAACGTTTTAAATCTTATAGAATTTAGTTAAATATTTTTGTTAGTGTTAGTTAAATATTTGTGTGAATTCAAGTAATATTTTTTTTAAATTTATAGATGAAGAAGTGACATGGATTTTCACCGAATACTTATCCAATCTGAAACCACCAGTAGTAAGTACCATGAGTAAAATCGTAACATATGATTATATCTTAAATATATGAGTTACACAATGCAATGATTTTTATTCTTGCAATAAAGCTAGATGTGATTAATCTTTTATATTGTAGGTGAGTGAATTATCCCCATATAGTGTTATGGTATGTTGGAAACCTCCCACTTTATCTGCTGTTGAAATAGAGCCTACGCTATGTTCAAGCATTCAGCAGAGTGAAATAATGTATGAAGTAATGCTTTGTGAAAAGGGTAAAGAAGGTCGCTATAAATCTGTTTATAGGTGAGTTCGAGCTTTCCATGTTCTTCACATGGCATTATATTCACTCTGTACTTTTGTATATATAATTCAAATGTTTTTCCATTTCATTTAGTTTGATCTGTACTCAGTAAATAATGAAAGTACTGTCTTAGATAATAAACATTTAATATGTGTAAAAGTAAATGGAACTGTATTCATAATTTTGTAATTTTAAGGAAATTTTATGAAGTAAATGTTTAAATTCCCAAATGATGAAATGAATCAGATTTTAAGAGCAACTGTTTTGGAAATATATGTAGTTTCTGCTGTCCAGAACAAATGTTCTTAGTTAACACTGCTATATTTATAGGAGATTTGAAGTACTTTTATAAAATGTTCTTAGTTAACACTGCTATATTTATAGGAAATTTGAAGTACTTTTATAGTTTTAATATTCAAGTACACAAATGAGTATTAAAATGTTGTTATATTGAAAATTTAATAACTAACAAACTAAATTTGCAAAAAGGACATCTAGCTCATTCTTTTAATATTTTGTGGCTGTCTATGCTGTAATAAGAAGTAATGAAATACATTCCGCAAGAGAAGAAGAGGAAGAATGGCTTTGCTTGTTTGCATTAGCTGTACATAAGTCACGTGATCACTGAGGTCATCTGCATTGTATGTTTATAAAAGATATACATAAGTCACGTGATCAATGAGGTCATCACAATGCATCTCATTAAGTAAAAAGCTTTTTGTTGAGAATCGAGCATTTAATTGATGTTATGTGCAGTTTTAGTGGCATCATTGTTTTGTTGTATTTTGAAAGTTATAAATCGTAATTGGTTTTTACATCATTGGAAGCTACACGCATTTATCAGCAGAAAAATAGTTGTGTCAGATTTTTATAACCTACATTTATACAATACACCATATATTTACTGACTCTGTGAAATCTGTAACCATGGTTAGCAAAGATTTTGCCACAAGATATGTTTGATATTTACATATTCAAGTAAATATCTTATATTTTCTGAAACATTAATGCTGATTACCATTGGCCAAATTTAGCCTTAGCAGTCCTTGGAAAGTTAAACTGCACCAATGCAGCACTTCTGGATCCTGAAACACTGTACCTTTTCCCATTACACTAGAGTTAGTACCATGTTATTAAGGTGAAGGTTACACGTGAACTGAGTTTTCACATATGTGAGAAATAAATTTTCAAAAATAAATAGTCATAGTTTCATGGTAAAATGTATGCAAAAAATTATCATTTAAAGAAGTGATTGGTGATTCAGCATATTTGCTGAAACATAGATGCTTTTATTTTTAAAAGATTTTCAATACTTATACAAATTTTCATTTAATTGGTATAAAATATAACTGTTCATCTGAAAATAGCCTTGCATAATAGAAAGACTCCAGTTAGATAATGAGATTGCAACAGAGTACTATATGAGAAAAAAATAAAAAATGTATTATTCTGTATGCTCGATCGGTTAAATAAATATATTACTATCTTATATGCATTTAATTGTATGGTTATATTTATAGCTACTTAGGGTATTATTTCAATAACTAATTTTTGAAATTTTAACTTTTAAAATGGGGATAAAGGCTGTCTTAAATTTTAAATGCACTGTATTTTTCTAAAGCTGTTAGAGTTCTGTTATGAATTTTAAATTTAATTTTAGTGGTCTTGATCATCATTGCAATATAACATCTCTGAAACCAGCTACTGAGTATTATGTTTGGTAAGTGTTTTTTTACTGAGGTATTTTTTTTATTTCTTAACTGTAAATTATGAAGGATGATAACATTTGTTCTTAATCATAGCCTTACTTTTAAACAGTATGTAAAAATCTGAACATATCTCATTAATTCATATCTACATTTTGCCTAGAATAAAAATCTTATTATTAACCTGAAGGAAATACTTTGTAACAAGAATTACTTTCTTCCATTTAATTGGTTGGCTTCTCAATATTTTGTAGCTTTTAGAAACTATAATAGTAATATATAATATAATAGCAACTTTATGAAGCATATAAAGCATATACAAATTCTTTGATCAATAAATTTCTTAACATTTAAAAATTTTTTACTGTTTATTGTAAATGATGTTATTTAATACTTATTATTGTTAAAAATTAGTATTTCTTCACTTAAAAATTATTATCAAATTTTGATGTGAAACAATATGAATACATGCAGAATTCGATTTTAAAGCATGCTGTATTTCTGTAATTTTTAAAAGATTATTTTAATTAGTACTTTCGATTTAATTTTTTTTTTTTTTTTTTTTTTTTTTTTTTTTTTTTTGTGCAGTGTTCAAGCATCACTTGATGATATTCGAGGAAGTAGTGTTAAAGGTAAGAATATTTTTTTTCAAAGTATCTAACATATCTTGCAAGGAAAAAATAAAGGAGTTAAAAAGTTCATTTTCGGTTAGATTTTGCTTATTAAAGTAGTTTTATTTTGAAGTTAAATAATCGTCAAATGATGCGGAATTTGTGATACAGTTATGTTATTTATTAAAATACTTTTCATAGGTGCAATATTTAAAACACCACCTGCAGAACCAGAAGCACCTCAGCCTCCAAGACTTAGTGCCAGAACAAAAAATAGCCTCACATTGAAGTGGAATGTAAGTGTGTGACCCTTTGAAAATTTTAGTTTATGTTAATTCTACTTGTTTCAATTAAATGAATATTTTAATTGAAGTACACTAAAATGTATTTATTATTCGTATTACTTTTTGCTGTTGATAAAGTAGTGATCAGTATCCAAGTGTCTTTTGTTTTCTTAAAAACATTTTGTTTTACAAATAAAATTTTCTAATAGAAAAATGTAATAGTTAGTGTAATAGTAAAATGTTGAGTTGTGCAAAAAAAATTAAATGGTTATTAGTCTCTCATGTATTAAAGAAGCATACCGAAATAAAATTGAACCCTTTGCACTTGAGGCCTTTTTAGCTTGCACGAACCAGCAACTCGAGATGATTTTGGCGTAATTCAGCAAACACTTTACAAGTACTTTAAAAACATTTATAAACAAGCATATACAAAAATAAAATTTCACCAGTTTATTCATTTATATGTTGAAAACAACAAAGTTTGATAAATATTACACGTTCGGGGATTGGTGTTGTGTGTTGGAATAGTTTCCAGATGAAGTATCCAGAAGATTTGACAATATATCTCTTGTAAATATATCCAATAGAAAGGAATATAACTGACAACATTCCTCGATCACTATTCTTGCAAATTGGCCAACGGCATCATCCCCATATTGGTTAAGACAGCAAGAAATGCCCGGAACTCTTCGTTGGTCACATCACGCCAGCTTCGCCAAATTGAATTCGCAGATAGCGTCTTCCCTTCCAATTTTCTTTTTGCATATATATTGGTTTCACAAATATTTTTTTCACAAGGTCATTAGTAAAAAACAGTTAAAAAAGAAACTATTGGTTGTTTTATGTTAGAAAATATTCGTGTTGGGGTTTTGGCCAAGTATAAATTGTACGTTTGGTGGCACTTCATCAATGTACAGTACACATGTTGAACTGCTTGCACCTTCCACAGTTTCACTTTCAACATCACACTCAACTTCACTGTCGCTCTCTATAATTCTAATTTTCCGTCATCTCGCACCTCTTACTGCATTACTGTCTTCTCCATTGGATTCGTTCGTTTCACGGCGTAATCCGTCGAAGATCAATGCAATATTATCATCCAAAGCGGCAAAATCAAATTTGTCTGAACTCGAGCTGATCTGATCTTCCTGCATATTTTTAGGGCTCAAATGCTTTTTAGTTACTATATTTATTGCCAAGACTGTTTCAAATGAATGCTACGCTGAGACTAACTAAACTGAGCTAAGAATTGGCTACAATATCAGTGGAGCCTAGCTCACGAAAGTACTTCGAGAAAAATATCGTATCACGCATTGTAAATCAGGAGATCGAGTTACAAAAGACCATAGCATCGTAGCAGTGTCTCTCAATTTAAGACTTCGAATCACTCGGGCTCCGCAGCAGCGCCGCTCGATTTCACACTTCAGATTGGCTGGCCGCTTGAGTGCAAAGGGTTAAAGGAAGACAAAATGAATGCTGACCTTTTTTCTTTATAAACTCTCAGTAGTTATGTTTTATGTATGTATATGTATAATGCACCCAATGCTTCTATACTCAATGTAATTATGCGCCTTGTACTTTGTATAAATATATTTTAGTATAAATATTACTGTATTGATCATTAACTGTATTAATCATTGCTGTCATTACTGTATTTAATATTATTTAGCATCATCAAATTAATAGCACCAATTGCTAGCTCTAGCACCTTATTACGTACTTTCAGTCTAAGTATATTTATGTAGTATGTGCCTAATGCTTACGAGACTAAGGTACTATGTGCATTAAGATTGTGAGCCCAATGATTACCTATGTGCCTAATAATATGTATATATATCCTCGTATATATGATAATGTAACCTCATCCGAATATAACATCACGCAACATGACACTTTACCGCATAGTGTTAATCTAAAGTCTTAATTCTAAAAACCCCATTGCATTAACTAACTTCTATAGCATTATTATTTATATATGTATTTGTTATATATTATGTATCGTCTGTATATGTACCATGTATATTAATGCTTATAAATCCAATGATTACTGCGTGCCTAATAATTGTGTATACGTGTTTTAGTATGTATATAACTGCATCCATGGCTCCGCGCATATCATCCTGTAGTATGGCACTGTACCACATAGCGTTAACTAGGATCTTACACTAAAACTAACAGCACCAATGAATTGTTCCAGCATTGTACTAATCTTATGTATTTATGTACGTATATGCATAGTGCATCTAATAATTATGTATCCTATGTTAAGTATGCACCTAAAAAATATATTTGTATATTTTTATATATATATAGTATTAACAAGTAGAAATATTACTGTATTCATGCGTCAGTATTTAACACTGTGTAACATGAAGCCGTTTCGCATAGTGTTAAACTAGAATTTTACTATAAAATTAACTGCATTTATTACTTTCCATAGCACTGTATTATGAACCATCTGTTTATATATGTATATGTATACCATGTACCTAATGTCTGAGAATCTAGTGATTATTATGTGCCTAAAAGTTGTGTATATGTATATTAGTACGTATATATATTGGTTTATCCATCCAATCGCCTACAGCATCATGTAACATGTAAAAATAGCAGCACCAATTACTTGCCCTAGCATTGTATTAAGAAACTAATATATGAATATATATATGTATTATGCGCCTAATGTATATGTACTATTGTATATACCCAATGACAATTATGCACCTTATAATTGCGTATAAATGCATTATTTTTAAAATACTATAAAATTAATTGCATCAATTATCCTCAACGGCACTCTACAATGTACCATCTGCTCATGTATATAAATGTGCCATGTACCTATTGATTATGAAATCGAATGATATAAGTAAATAGGTAGCATGGTAAATAAAAACAGTATAGCATTGTAAATAGGAAGCTGTACCCATGCACCCGCATACATTTCTACGTAACGTGACACGTAAGGCAAAATCATCAACGTAGTGTCCTATTATGAAATTAAATAAGCACCCTATTACTAGTTATAACATTATTTTATGGATCTAGAGTTTCAGTATATGAAGTAAGTACGAAATGTTATGTCACCAATGACTATTGTGTACCAAAATATAAGCGTATATACGCTTTTGTCTATATGTAATTGTGTATGTCCTTTGTTTATATGTAATTGTACCCATGTATCTACTAGTGTTATCACATATCTTGGCACTGTATAGTTAATATACATCTATTACGCACTGAATAATCATGTACCTAATATGTCTGTATATATGTATATGAATTTATGTTCTGTATATATGATAATGTAACTATGCATCTGCACATTTTATCCTGTAAACACGGCACCGTATCGCAAAGAAACTAACTAGAGCCCCACTCTAAAATTAATTGCACCAAAGACACTGTACTACACAGTACTAATCTAGGGTCTAACTTTTAATTCACTGTACTAATTACTTATTCCAGCATAACATTGCGCACCTAATATTTCAGTATGTACATGTGTCTTCTGTAATCTAATGATAATGCTTCAAAGGGTCATAGTGTACTCAACATATGAGTACACACGTTATGCATATATGCTATCGTATCCATGCTTTTGCATACACGTTGTAACATGGCAATGTATTATCCAGTGTCTAACATTAATTAGCTTTAACGCCACTGTATGAAGTACCAAATTTGTATGTATGTTTATATATTAGTATATTAGCACAATGAACACGTATGATTATCTAGATAAAAGTGGACGTGGCGCTATACCGATTAACCGTATTGGTAAAGGGGTGGTGCCCACGTCCTCCGTCGCATGTCGCATGTAATAAGTGAAAGGTCATTATTATTATTTTATACTGTATTTCTTAGTGCATTGTTCTATATTTTTCTTTCAGTCTCCCAGTGATTCGAGTCCAAAAATAAAAAACTATGTACTGGAATTTGATGAGTTGAGCCAAGAGGTATTTATTTCTACCTTTACATGTTAAAACACCATTACTCAGAATTTTTTATCAAATAAAAGTTTTTGTTGGAATTTGTGGATTGTGTTAGCTGTGATTTATTAGAAATATATATTTTAGAATTAGTATATTTTTGACTGATCAGGATTTTAGTTTAGCTAAACATTTTATCTGTTAGGGTCTTTCTGTTATAGTTGATAAATAGGTCTTGTGGGCTAAAAATCTCTAAACCGAGTGATTCGAAATCTTTAAGGAAACCATTTACAGTAATAAAATTGAAAGAAGAAAACAAAATGACAAATTTCTGTTAAATATGGAAATATTTTACATCCTTTAATATCTAAATAATCCCAATTCTTAAGCTAAGTTCAAGCAGAAAGTGACGTGATTAACAGAAAAGTAAGAATTGTTTAATTGCAGTGCTGTGTTAAATAAAAGTAAAAATTATTATTAGCTAATAGATAATAATAATAATAGTATGAAAAAATCTGATGTGAACACCTCATAACTTCCTTGTACAACCTATTAAATTATACACATATTTTGCTGCATTTCATTTAAACTTATTTCCTCAAATTTGAGTAGAGAGATATTTCTTATTCAATTCATTCAGTTCTTTAGTTCAAACCAGTGCCTTTTTATCAATGTTGCAATGGTGATCAGGCATATCTCCTCTCTCTGCAGGTGCTTAGATATCCTATATGATACCGTTAGTGAAAATGAATAGGTTCTGATAAAAAGCATGGATTCTATAACTAAACTTTCAAGTCCTTGCGTTACTGGCAGCATGGAAAATGGTATCTGTGATTAGATGATGTCAGTAACACACATTGACTAAAAGACTGCATATAGGTAGTTAATTGCTGATGAAACAAACCACTCGTGAGGAGTCTCCTGGCCACAATAAATCAAGAAATTGGCATATGGCATAATAGTACATTTGTATGTCTTGTGGTTTTACTTGTTTTCTACTTTAGATGTTTCTTCTGTTTCTGTGTTTGCTTAAATATCTACTACTAAACCTTCCATAAGCTGTTTTGGTAATTAATAATGCTGCCTAAACAGGTGAAACAGTGCTAGTGCAGTCTTGAACTCCTCAGTTACACTTTGACCTTCTTCCACTTTAGCAGTGCCATTTTAACCAGTAAAGTCATTAATATGTTTTCAGGGATACTCTCAGCTGTATATTTCACATTGCAACAGCAATTCAACATTCTTCAAAACAATGTGTACTGTAAAATAGCTTATACTGAAAATGCTAAGCATATACCACCATCATGCATTATACTATTTTCACATGCCTGAATTACATCATACTGTGAATATGAGCATGTTGTATCATACTGAACTCTAGGCAGTCCCCTGACTAGTCTTTCAATCTGTTCTGCCTGTTTGTTCCTTGTTAATTTCTCCAATTTCTTTTTAATTTTTGCATGTCATTTTGATGGTGATGTATTAATGTATGCTGATTTAAAAAAAAAAAAAAAGAAAAGAAAGAAAGAAAAAAAAAATGTAGGTTTTACTGCAGTACATTCACAACTGCTTTTTTGGTTTCAACATTTTATTTTTTGCAGAAAATTAAGGTGACTGCTTTAATGTTTAGATGATGGGGGAGGAACTCTTAGAGGTATCATCATTGCTGGAGTTCAGTCTTTGTGGCAGTTGATAATATGGCAAAATGGTAGATGGAGCAGGAGAAATATTTTGCCTTGCCATTGGATACAAGTCTTGCAAAACCTAAAAGCAAGTGAAATGCTATGACTTTTCTTGTCACCTTCTGGGCAAGTTAGATGATAATATGTTTATAGACACAAATTAGTCTTTTAGAGGAGGGATAACATTCAATCTGAGTACTTGTACATGTTAAGTACTTACAAATCATCATACTGTGGAATCTGGGGAAATGCAAACTTCCAACATGTGATTGAACATGAGAGAAATAGTGAAAACATGAGCATATTTGTGGGTTCAAAGAGGAAACTATATTGATTATTTTTCTTTTCAGAATTCACTATCACTGGAATTTCTTGAATGAATATGTTTCTGTTTTATAGTCTTTACTGGGAGATTACATTTTAAATGTGATCTTCAATTAATAAGACAGTATATTTCTCATTTCTTAATATTATAAGAATATACCTTGACAAATTCATTTCTCAACAGTGGCTTGGATAGTGAACTACAATGGTATGGACTCATTATCAGTGAAGCAATTGAAGCAAAAAACTTGGAGACTAAGATCAGAGACCATTTCATGCTGAGAATCTTTTAAAATTATTCTCTCTGTATCTGTTTCTCTGAATGTGTTTTGTGAGTTAATGGTAGATGCTGGTTAAAAACATTTTGACTTCTGGAAAATTATTTCTGGTCTCCTTACGTGAAACATTTTTAGTGACTATTTGAATTATTGTAGTCTGAAGTAAATTAACTTTTTTTTTTTTTTTTTTTTTTTTTTTTTTTACATCAGTTCAATTTATTTCTAATATATTTTTCTTGGCCCTTTTTTTTTTTTTTTTTTTCCAGGGTTACAGTAGAAATAGTTTTGTTCCTGTATATACTGGACCTTTAAAGCAGTATAAAGTCACAAAACTATCACCTGCTACAGGGTATAAATTCCGGTTAGCTGCTGTGAATGACAAAGGGAAAAGGTTTGATAATATTTCAATATGTATTGTAAATTTTTGAAGTGATATTTTTAAATTATGAATATGTGAAAGCCCTGCAGTAGTGTTTTATATTAATAAATATCCATTATTTTTTAATATCATTCCCTTTTCAAAAATACCTCTATAGAAAATGTGTAGCACCCCTGTTTTTGCTAAGAAAAAAGGAGCATACATTAAAAAATATTCCCTGTTTGCTCCCTGTTGTTCCAGATGTTGTGCCTATTATATTTCCAAGCATGTGACTTGTCAGATATGAAGATCTAGGTTTTTTTGAAAAAGTCCTTAATATTGTTATAATTTTGTAGTATTATTTTGAGTTGATGGTTTTATACAGGGAAATAAATCATTTCATGTTATCAGCTTTTAGAAAGACCACATTCACACATTATCTAAACATATTATCCAAGCTTGATGCACACATATATTACACTGCTGGCTATTAAAATTGCAACACCATGAAGGAAAGCAAATACAAAAAAAAGATATTTATTGTACGCAAACAGTATAGGATGAAGACACAATTATTAAATTTGTAACAGTTTTGGGGTTTACAGGGGTGCGAAATCAGTAGAAACAGCTACCACCCCTGGCAGCTAAAATGGTCCTAACCCAGTTATGCATGGAGTTGAACTGGGCTTCGATGACAGAAGCAGGCATCTCATTCCATGCCATGTCTGTGTCACACTTCATCAATAATATTAGCTGGAAAGGGATGGCGAGCCAGTCTCTCAGCAACCCGTGACGAGATGTTTTCAATGGGTGACAGATCTGGAGACCATGCAGGACAGGGCAGCAATCGAATACCCTGTGTATCGAGGAACGTCAGAACACGACATACAACATGTGGTCTTGCATTATATTGTTAGAGGATGGCATTTGGCAGGCCTCGAACATAGGGCACAACCACTGGATGTAAGATTTCAGAAATGTACCGATCTGCATTCAAATTACCGTCATCCGAATTAGAGATTTGTGTGTTGTGTACTCAGTGGTTGAAACCGTCACACCAGGTGCAGGGTCCCTATGCCAATATTAAGTGCAAGCAGGTGATGTGCAGTCTCCTTGGAGCCACCGGACATGTATACGGCCATCAGAATGCTGCACGCAGAACTGGGACTCTTCTGAAAAGATGGCGTTGTGCCACTCCTGTATCCAATCCAGCTTTGTCGCTCGGTGCACCAGAGTCACTGGCTCTCTCTATGCTGCATTGTCAAGGGAAGTCGAACTAATGTTCACCATGCTGATAGTTTACGCTGCTGCAAACATCAACTTATCGTATGAATGTTATGTGGTGCTATGGTTTTGCAGGGCTGACTTCACAATATATCTGTCTTCTCAAGTGTTCGTCAGGGGAGGGCATTGAGATCCTGCATGCCATTCAGTATGACCCTGAGCCCATTGATTCCATATTCGCATGACAGTGGTTGGATGATGACCAGTGGGATAGGTGATATCAAGGATTGATAATCCAGACTCTTAATAGGCAATGATCCTGCCTTTGTTTAATTCTGTCACTTGTAGGTAAGCATTTCTTAGTATTTTTGGGGCATAACACAATATTCTGAGCAAACTCCAACCTTATAAAGCTCATTACGAATGAGAAATCCACTACACAGCTTCTCTTTTAATGTGGTGTTTCAGATGTTGTTTCTCCCTCCTGTGCACTGAAATACTAATCATTTGCACATCCCAACCTTTCCTTCCTTTCATGTGATTTTGATGTTCGTCAAATGAATCTTTCCTGGTGTTACAATTTTAAAGGCCAGCAGTGCATATAACTTGCAAGGAATAAATATGTCTTTGTACGTAAAATATGTCTTCGTCATTATGTCTTATTGTAGGAATAAATATGTCTTCATCATTATGGCTTATTGTAGGAATAAATATGTCTTCATCATTATGTCTTCGTTCTAATTTTTTGTTGTGTAATAATGTTTTTATGCACTGAGCTAACATTTGTTTTTATATCTGTAGCCACAGTATTTTAAGTTTGTGAAGATGTGTATGATTAGATTATTTACATATTTGCAGCAGCAAAATCATTTGTAAATAATTGCTTATATGCAGTACATATATTATTGATGATTATTTTGCAGCACATATAGCGAAACCTGCTGTTATTTTACAAGTGGAAATGTTCCTAGTCAACCTTCACCTCCTGTTTTAAAGCAGGCATTTATCAATAGGCTGCATCTAGAATGGGAGAAGAGGCCATTTGATGATGATTTTAGTTTACAAATAGAGGATGAAAACATGGTAATTATTGCCACATTCGTTTGTTATGTGTAATAAATTGTTTTTATTATATGCTTTTTGTTTTAAATAATTCTTAAGTAAACACAGTAGAAATTATTTGAAATTTTATTTGGAATCATAATATATATGCTTTTATTTTAATAGTTAAAATATCTTCATTTACAGAGGCATGGTTTCTTGACAGCATATAGTGGTAGGGAGACGCAATTTGTCTGCTGTGGTTTGAAGGGCAATACAGAATATAAATTTAGGGTTTGTATAATATTGTATTCTTTCTAAAGCTTAAATTTTATGTCTATACATTCCTTTTCCAGAAGTTTCAGTATTTTGCATCCCCCCCCCCAAATTTGATTTAGAACTCTAAAAAAACAAGTTTTCAAAACTTGGCATAAAAAAAAAGAGTACCAAAACTCGAATTATATGTTATTATTATAGTTTTCTGATAAATTGTTTGGAGCTATATTAGAATTATGATGATGATTGATAATTTATTATTAGATAGTCAGAGGCTGATTAACAGTAAGTTTTGAGAAACATGATTGCAGCCTTTTGGCAATAGACCATTGCACTGGATTTCTGATGTCAGAATTATGAGTTACTACCTTTGGCAAGATTCTCGCGGAGATGATCACTCTTTCTGAAAATATGAATAAAACATTGCTTTGAATATCATTGCTCTTAAACAATCATCTTCATAGAAAACCAAATCTTTTGGACATGTTAACGATTGTCTTAGAAAGGCTGTATTCTATTCTGTAAATTTTTCAATTTTAATGATAAATCATAGATTGAAGGTAATGTATATATATGTGTGTGTCAGCATAACTAGAACATTTGCCGCCCGGGGCAGTGAGTGTTCGCCTGGGCAGTCTTTGAATTTATCTGTCCGCATGGTATAAGCAAATGACTGAATGTAAAAATGGCATAGAGGAAAATAAACGTACCTTTACTTCTGAAAAAAATTTTAATTCCCTCATTTTAAAATTGTATTATTATTATTATTATTATGACACTTGTTCATAAAACCACCTATTACAGAGTACTATGCTAATAGTACAGAGCTATTTCTTAAATGCAAAATTAAACATTTGTAGTTTTAAAATGATTTTTATTTAAAAAAAAAACTCTTATTACAGTTAGAAGCAATTGTGAAAAAATTCTCAGCAGTATTACATTATATGTATTTTAAACCAAATAGTAAAACATCAACAGGGCCCACGTTCCACAATCATGTTTCATTTTCTTAGCAATAATAATGGAAAATAAAACTTTGAAACACTTCTAACTGAGAAATTCTTCCTTATTAATCTTTTGATGGTCCTCAACAAGCTCAGCTCATATTCTTGTTTAATTAATTAATCAGTAACTGAAATGAAGATCGAACTTGCATAAGGATCTTCAGTTTGTGGGCATTACCTTCTGCTGTACCGTTATGTCCCGATCACATTATGTTTCGGCTACGCGGGACTTGACGTCGAAAGGGACAATTCTCAGAGCCCGTTTATTTACTTGAAACCCACATAGCTAGGTTACCATTTTTACTTACAACAAAGACTTGAATGCCAAACATTAATCGATTATCGCTCAGATTGGGATCACATGATCTTTCAGAAGCATAACTTTCGTCTGATTGGTTGATCTCTACCCAGGACTGAGGTCCAGCCGTGACATTTTTGGTGAGGTTTAAAAAAATCTTGAGTAGCCGCAGCATAGTTCCCTTACCTAGGCGGGGCTCTTTTTTCTAGGAATCCTCCTGTTTAAACCAGTGCTACCAGAATCTTATTTCTCAGGGAAGTCCCATCTAACAGGATAGCAAAAAATGTGTAGAACTATGAAATGCGAGTTTTCAAATTTTTTCATGATATGCACTCTACCTGAGCAAGCAGATGAAATATATTAATTAAATGATAAATAAAAATATTGTACTTGGAAAAAAATCTGAAAACTAACAGCCCCATGAGTAGCCGAGAGATTAAGACCACTGAATACTGGGAGTTCGATCCCAGGTGAATGGGTTACCTGCATGGTTGGTTTTCAGGGTTTTTCCCTTATATTAAGTGAATACGAGCCACTTTCCCTTAGACATTCCTCCACAAAGGCATCTCTCCTACTAGGCAGATAACCCTTGCATGCTTTTCCATATCTGTATAATCTAACCTGAAAACTATCAACAAAAGAGAATAAAGTATGATATCTCCTTATACAAATTTTGCATTCTTTTATAATCGTTCGGAAGTACTTACAAAATATGCGTCAATGAAATTATTAGAATGTGTTATTTTTTAATATTAACAAAACTGATGGTTAAAAATGATACAGCATTTCGAAAGGGTGCACTTTTTGAAAGTAACTCTACCTGAGCAAGCAAATGATTTTTTAATTCTTTGTTTAATTGAAAACTTGCTCCAAATGCATTGGGCACTCTCGAAAGTCAGTAAATATATGCAACCACTTACAGTGGATGAACTCTCTGAGAATTACTTTTAGATTTAGCTTTATGTCTACTGATTTTGGAAGTATAGATCAGCAGCGAAGTAATTATAACACAGTATAAAGGCTAATAAATAATAAATATAAAGGCTAAGAATAAAGCAAAAATTAGAATGCAAAATCTGATGACGAAAATGTAAAGCAATGAGATCACATATATTAGCTTCCAATTGGTGCATTATAAATCAGAAATAGAATCGTGCATTACTCTGCAAATTCTGTTTTTGTCCTGAACTGCCCTTTCACTCCCTTAAGGTACTTACGTAGTATTTAGAGGTAAGCAAAAATGCTTTCGCTTACCGAAAAAGCTGCTTTGTTTGCCCTTTCCTCCTCTTCCAAAAGGCATAATAGATTGACAACTGATACACCTGTTGCTGCTATGTGTAAAGTATCTAAACAGTAGAAAAATACAGAAACTGCTTTTATACACTTCTTTTCATTTTTCACGCATGCTAGAAGAGAAGCAAACAAAAAAATTACATTTGACATAAATCTGTTGGAGTTTTGCTTTTTAATACGTAATTTACCTAATTTTCATTTGTTATTTGTTCAAGGTTTACAGTTTATCTCCATCTTTTTTCCTTTCTTCTTTCCACTCTTTTCTGTGTAACGTGGTTGTATGGTTAAATTAACTTTATATTTAATTCTAAATTAATAATTAAGAATATGCGGAGTACACAAGTGACAAATAATGGAAGGACGGGCATACGTAGTGGCTAACATTCGTAAACAGGTATTTCGTCCCTCACCATGCACTGCGGAGCATGCAGTATGAAAATAACATAGGATTTAAGCTCTAAAATCCATTTCATCTTTTTTTTTTTATACTCACTTCATTGTTGGGTCACAACTGGCGATCGCTGCTGGTAGCCCTGGAGTGTACTTCAAGAGTGAGTTGTGTGCCACTTAAGTGTTCCAGATCCACCCACTTTAGATTTTTGACCAGATATGATTGTCTTAGTATCTATTTGTTTTGTTTTTAACTGAATAATTCACCTGAATATGTGATGTGTGACTTGCTGAAGGATGAGTGGTCTGCAACTTAAAGATTAAAAAATGCTTTAGAGTTACATAAATTTTCAGCCATCTGAAACTCTGTAAAGCTTCATGATTTTATTTGTCAGAAATGATTCAACTTTTAAAGTACAAGGTATTCAGATGTGACATGATTGTTAGGTTCCTAAAATGCTTCTTATCATGCAAATCATGTTATATGAAACAAAAGCATTGATACTGAAAAGAGTGTTAAGCTTCAAAAATTCACAACATTACATTGATTTTTCACATTGATCTTTAAATGAGCAGTCATCTCTTCTCCAGGCCCACCAGTGGCTGAGTGATAAAATTGCTGAATTCTGGTAGTTCTCAACCTGGGTTTGATTCTATGTGAATGGGCTGGCTGCATGGGTGTTGTTGTGGTTTTCCCCATGTGTAACATGTATGCTACCCAGTTTCCCATAGAAAGTTCCCCACAAAGGCATCCTTCTCCCTTAGGCATGTAACCCCAGTGTGTTTTGTTGTAATTATTTTTGCTATAATCAACTAAACCAAATCAATCCTCTCTTCCAGCAGTATATCTTCATCTTCAGAGCATTTTCTTGCAAAATTTTGATTTTTTTATACTCTGCTGTTTTTTTTTTTTTTTTTTTTTTTTTTTTTTAATCCACTTTCAGTGATTTGTGCCTTTTTGATAGGCATTATAAACTCTGTAGTATACAACTGGGCATCTATGATGTTCTAGAATTTTACATGTCTTTCAGTAGAAAGATTTTTATTTAGAAAATGCAGTCAGTCGTTTAGCTAAATGCTTGTTTTCTGTATATTTTGGGGGATAAAATTTTGAACTTAAACATTTTCATCTGTGGTTTTGTCTTTTGAATTTTTACATTTATTTGCATAATTTTCCTTCTTGGAATTTGAGAGAAGAAAATTATATGATGTCCGACATTTCTTTGGTAAAGCGTGAAAGAGACACATGAAATTAAAAAGGCATGCTTAAAGGGGTGTACTAACATTATTGTTGTTTTAAATTTCCCCTTGAATTTTTTTATTTCCACATTGTTATTCTGTCCTTTTGCTAGACCTCAGGTAAAAGCAGAATTTCTTAGTAAGTTGCATAGCATAAATCTAGAGATTATTATGAGAAGTAAAGGGTTATAATGATAAATTTTAAAAAGAATTATGGAAAAAGATTTAGAAATGATGGGCTGCAAAGAAAAAGATAATAAAATTAATATATGACAAGTGATGTCTGTTCCTGCAATGCATTAGAAGGTCTTATAACCTTATCAATGATATGATTATCATATTGAACAATTTAATAGTTTTTATACTGTGTTTACTCTTATTTTTATATTTATCTCTGTAGAAGAGGGATGAAGGGCCTAGGCTATGATTTTGAAAGGTTGAATTAACAGTCTTAAAATGTGTTTGTTTAAGAATGTGAATGTAAAAAACTCCAGGAGCTGGTCATTTTTATGGAGAAATCTGCATAATGTGAAAGAAAGTTGTGAAAAAATCAGAAGTTCTCATCATATAGTAAAAGATCATTCATACATTAAATTTCATGCACTAAAAGTACCAAGTTGAGAGTAAGTAATATGTTAGTATATACAGTAATTTGATTCAACTGAGATATCACCTCCATCAAATCTCCTTCATCAGCATCTATCTGTAAATCTTATATACCTTTAGAATTCATGTCATGAAAATTTTCCTCTCCTAAAGAGTTATGTTGAAGTATCAAATCTGCTTGCTGAATTAGGTAAAAGCAGAATGAATTGAATGTTGTTGATTTTCATGTTAACACTGAATATTTCAAGCACAAGCCTGTCTTAAATTATTTGAGTACACCTCTTCAAAAGAATGAAGTTAGTGCTAGTCTGGTGAGGATATTTTGATAAACATGTATAAAGCACATCCGTTGCTGTACAGTACTTCCAACAGGGTATTTTCAAAGAGGCATTTTTGTTCAAGCCAGTATTTAGCTGATAAAAATTTATACAGGAAAATGTGTATATATTTTTAAATTTGACATTATAATATCTGACATCTTAAAAAAATTACATGTTGTGTAATTATTAAAAAAAATAAAATGTTGAATGTAAGAAATAAATTTCTTGTCAAAAATGTTCTTGTGTGTTATTGAGAATTATTAAAATAATGATATTTTTTAAAGTTATGTGCAAGTAATGAAGAGGGATCCAGTCCATGGAGCAAAATTGTTACATATTGTACACTGCCTGACAAACTTAGTTGCCCTAGTAAACCTAATCCAAAAGGTCGCATTCATGCTTCATGCTTTCGAGTTTCATGGGGTGAGTTATGATCTCTCTTTGCCTGTCTCATTGAAGAATTCTAAAATAAGTATAATTAAAATATCCGATTCATAAGCACCACATTTACTTTTTACTTTTCCCCCTTTATTTATTTATTTGTTTGATTATTTTACAGATCCTCCCAAAGACTGTAAGCATTCAAGTATCACCAAGTACATTCTTGAAGTAGATCGAGGTTATGGTTAGTATTATAATTATCCAAATTTATTACAGTCAGAAGTCGTTAATTCGGACACCCACAATTCAAAATGATCTATAATCCGGACCTCAAAACCAAAAACTGCGCATGCGCCGGTTGACACATGCGCATAGGCGTTTACGCGTGCGCGTAAGATCTTTTACGACTGCGCATATGAGTGTGCGCAAGTGCAGAATACGTTTTCGCGTGCATGTTTTATGTATAATGGACATATAAGCTAAAATTATCTAATTATCTATTTCAGTTAATGTTGATGATTGCGTGTTCCTTAATTTTCGAATTGGATCCGGCTTATTATTTTTTGCAGACTGTAAGAGCAATTTTATAAAAGTAAGCTTAAACTTTCGATTATATCAAATAGAATTTCCGATATATATTTGTTAATATGTAAAGGATATAAAGCGAAAGTATGTTTTGAAATCCGAAATCTGTTTATCAATTTCACGCTGCTCGGCGGGAGGAACGCCGTGGCGGGCACGTAATGAATTGGAAGTTGATCTGTCAGCACTATCCTTATCTTCAGCGCAGATGTTTTTATTTTATTTGGCTTATAATTCCTTACCAAATGTAGTATTTCATCTCGATATGCTCCGTCTTTGATATGATTTAAAACAAGTTCCTCGTCATTATAATTCGCTTCCGATAGCGAAGAAAGTAATAGAGGTTATTGAAAACAAAAAAATTTCGATTGACAAATTAGTCGGTAGACACAGCAATTATAGGACTTGAACAGCGGAACTTTGTAACTGAACAAGAAATTATGTCTGTTTAATAGATTAAAGAGAAAGTATTATCACATGAAACGAAGCAACTTAAACAACTTACATTGAAAGAAATGTTTAATAAAGTAAACAAATAAATATTAAGCTTTTTCTTTTTGCAAATTTTGATACCCTTTAGATCATAATTGTTCTTTATTTCATAAATTACGATTTCATATTTTTAATTTTAGAATTTCTGCATGCCATCTTACGAGATTTAAACTGATGATCTATAATCCGGAAAAATCGATAATCCGGAATCGCCGAAGTCCCAACGAGTCCGGATTAATGACTTTTGACTGTATTATGTTTGTTTCAAGAGAATATAAAATGGTTCACTTAATATCAGGATGTTTACAGTGGATTTCATATTTTCCAGGATTTGAAGCAGTATATACTGGTTCAGACACAGAATTTTTCCTTGAGAATTTGCTTCCTGGCACAACATATAAAGTGAGAGTAGCATGCATCAGTGCGGCAGGGCATAGTCCAGTAAGTATGGCATTCTTTTCATTTTTATTGCTTCACACTTCATTATTTACTTATTATAGTGGTATAATTTTATTTCTATTTTTACATGTTAGTGTTTTACATCATTGAATTAAAATTGTGGAATGCTAAGAATTACATCCAAATTTATTCTGCTTATTCATTGGTTCCATTTTATGTGCAACTTTATAGTACTCAAAGCCTAGCAAATAGAAAGAAGGTCTAAATTCTATTTTTACTGAGTTCTCCCCAAAGCATCTTTTTTGTTTTTGTACATTTATCTCCCATCCATATTTGGTACATTTGTAGCTTCCCAAGGAATTATTTATGTATTTATTTCATTAATTTTGTGCTAGGAAGGTATGATTGTACTTTTCAAAGTTGTTCTTTTTGAATGAAGTGAATTACAAGCTAGATGAATAAAACATTAGAGTACCTAAATTTTAGTATTCATCATTCAGGGATATATTTAACATTCATCATTCACTGAGGTTATTAAAATAAACCGCAGACAGAATAAAGAAATATATAGAGATAACTTCAATTTTTTAATTTCGTTTAGAAATACTTTTACTCTTAGATAAAAATATATAAAAGATCTTTCAAATCTATCATATTCTAGAATGTTAGCTTTATTTTTTCTAAATGAATATTCAGGAATGATATAAATTACTAATATTTTATTATGGTCAATCAGTCATAAAGTTAATAAACTATAACTAATTATTATAGTATCAGTCATAAAGCAATGTTTGCAAATGTCAGTTTTAAGGCAAAAAATATTAAATAGTGCAAATCTATATGTGAAAAATACATAAATATTTGAGTATTTTATTTCTTTTCCCTACCTTCCTTCTTAAAATTCTTCTTTTTTCATAAGCGAAGGAAATTGTAACAGTCTTGCAATTTAGGATTTTGTGAACAGCTGATGAAAAAATGTATTTGCATTTCTCCTTACATCTAAAATAATATGAAAAGTAATTGTGCATAACAAATAAGTCTTAAATCCCAAATAAGAATATTTGAAGCTTTTTTTATTCTCATTATATAGTGATGAGCCAAAACATTATGACCATCTCCACATTTTTTAATGAACTCATCTGGATGACGCGGAGGGCAGGTTGTTAAGTGGGGCTGCTGTGGAGAAGGTAAGGAATCATTCTAGTGCTTACTCTTGTGAGTGATGGGAAAAGCTGCTGATCTATGCGAATTTGATAGATTGTAATGGCCCTAAGACTCGGAACGTGTATCTCCAAAACTGCATGACTGGTAGGCAGTTCATGATCTGCTGTTGTTAGTATTTATGCAAAGTGGATAAATGACAGTGAAACCAGCAGTTAGACCCCAAGCTTTCAGATGGCCAAGCATCATCAAAGAAAAGGACTGTCCCTCTCGGTACAGCAAAATTGGCACTAGACATTGGCTCAGCTAACAGTTCAATACAATACAGATTCAAGTGCGTTTTGGAACACACTGTTGGATATGGGAAGCACAGCAGAGTGCAGTCTATTCGTGTGCCTCTGTTGACCAAGCATTATTGTCAACTGCGCCTATAGTGGGCCCAAGAACGTAGAGACCGAACCATGGATAAATGGTAGACAGTTGCCTGGTCGGATGAATCACGATTTCTCATTCATCACTTCAGTGGTCATGTTAGGGCATGCCGTCTTCCAGGTGAACAGTTACTCATTCCCCTGTACAGCAGGTCATACACAGGCTGATGGTGTTATGCTTTGGGGGCATTCTCATGAGTGGCTCCGAGACCCTTGGTTGTGGTGGAATGAACCACGAAAGTTGTAGACTGTTTGAGCATAATTGTGGATCATTTGCACCCTTACGTGGTGCCTGCTTTCTCAACTGGCTATGGAATCTTCCAGCAGGACAACCCTCATGTCACAAAGCTCAGATTGTGTTGGAGTGGTTTGGGGAGCATAAGGATGAATCCCAATTAATGTACAGGCCACCACTCCCTGGCTCTTAACCTGATAGATCACATTTGGGATGTGATGGAGCAGCAGCTTAGAGCTCAAACACTACCATGCCGAAATATCTCGACTTTGTGTGACCGCTGCTAACCTGTCTCTAGTCATCTACCGAGAACTTGTGGCATCTATACCAAGGTGAGTTGCAGCTGTTTTGTAGGCCATAGGTTAGGCTGTGTGATATTCATAGGTGGTCATTCATGTTTTGGCTCTTCAGTGTAAGATAACTACTATGTTTTTATGAATTGCCAAATTACTTTAAATTGGAGGCATACTTTTTATTCAAATTTATAAATGCAAAGTTAGGATGTGGCTTAAATTCAAAGCAAATATTTTAACATTTTATTTCTGCAAATCTCCTATTTCCCAGAAATTAGGTCTTTACTTTAAATGCTTTTATAAAATATTGAATAATGATTTTTAAATTGCACTGAAAATAATTTGCAATAGTAAAGGTGAAAATTCAGGTTCTGATAGTGAAGTCATCAAAAGTGGTAGTAATGCATTTGAAAATTTTCAATAGATTATGTAACTTATCATATTTATATTAGTACCTATTTAAGCTGATAAAAATGTATCTTATTTTACAGGGCTTATTAAATAATTTAATTGTTTATTATTTTTCCAGTGTCTAATTTTAAAATCCTGCAAATTTGTAGCTTGGAAGCTGTCTTTTAGATTTTATTAATGTTTTAAAGTTGCCCAAGTTTTATTGTAAATGATTGTCATGTGTGAAATCTGATGGACTTTTTATGTGAATCATGAGTACTTGAAAAGTTTGAAAAAGATTTAAAAGTTTCTTTAATGTAAACCATTGCTTAAATGCAAATTTATTACATTTCTATCTTTATTCTTCAAAGTGTAAATGAATGAATCATTGCATTTGTAATATTTTAATCCATTTCTTTTTATTCTTTATAGTATTCTGAAATAAACAGTATTACCACTGCTGCAGTGAGCCCAGGCAAGTGTGCACTGCCAAAGCTTCAGAGTAAACCTGAAGCATCCTTTGTTTGTCTTGACTGGGGTATGTATTTTCTTTTTTAAATTAATTTTATAATAATTAAGATATTTTCATAAATTAATTTCATAGTCATACCACATATATGCATAAAGTATTTGCTGTTTCATTTATCTGCAGTTCAGAGATATAAAGGAGGAAAAATTTGCTTTCAGAATCATAAATTAAGAAATTTTGAAATACAAGTAACTACAGTCTGTAATGTAGCTTAAATATAGAGCACATATAGACCTTTTATTCTCTTCCTATGCATCTGTGCACTACTTTCAGTTCAGAATGTGTAAAGCAAAACAGTAATGGTTAGCACAGGACCTTATCTATAATTCTGATATGTGGGCACCCCTCAAAATTTCTCTAAAAAATTTGTTGTGTTAAGTACATTGGAATCTTGGCTTGTATATATTTACATACCTAAATTTCTGTTTCTCCCTTGCCTTAAATTTGCTTCCATTCTAGCATTCAACTTGTTCTGATTTACAGCCTTGGCTCTAGCCTTTTCAACACCTTAAGCAATCACTATGGGAACCCCATAATAAGTAGTTAAAAGCGAAATATGATTTATTTAACCCTAGTAGGCTGTCTATGTCACTTATAACTTAATTGCTGTATTCCTTAGTAATGTGTTTCTGCAGCTGTTCTGCCCTTGAAGTTCTTATTTACCATAAATCAGAATTCTGAAGTATAAATAATAATGCTACAAGTGCTTGGAAACTACTAGGATGAGTGAATAATCTTGATTTATATTTTTTCGTTTAAAATAGCATATTTTACTATACATACAAAAGTTAGATTTCTTCATTTCTTGGTATATTTTGTGTATTAAATTAAAGTATCAGAATCCCTACTTTCATAGCTCAAGTGTACAGTATATTTTATATTATTTATTAGTGGAGTGTATATAATGCATTGTAATGTATAAAATAATCTCATTACTTTTTTTAGTGCTGATAATGTTTTTCCTATATATTTTATTAATTAAACTTACTTATATATGTTACACAGTCATTTTAATCTTTTTATCATGTATCATGGGAAGTCTTTAAGTATATTAACCACAGATGTGGAGGCAGTACTTTATTTTTAATGAATATATACTTTGATAGTTGATGAAATAGAGACATTTTCCATACACTTTTCATTTTTAAAAACTATTTCTAATGCATATATAGCTCATCCAGAGCATGATGGTGGTTCAGCTGTGGCTGAATATGAAGTAGACATGACAAGTCCTGATAACGTAACACGGCAAGTGTACAGGGGTCCTGAAACATCATGCATTGTGAATGGACTTTTACCTGGAAGACCGTACCTTTTTCAAGTTCGAGCTTATAATAGAGTAGGGGTGAGTAGAGCTTCTTTATAAATAAGAATCTAAAACTTGATATATGCACATCACATTGCATACCATTAGTTTTTAATAATATGATGCAAAAAGAGATAAATTTGAAAGGACAGACAGACTTGGATACAGTTTCGTTGTGCATTTGATCGAACCTTTAACAAGTGAAGAACACATACATGACTGATGTTTGTTTACTATTGTCAGGCTGGTGATAAATATACTAAAACACAAAGTTTTTTTTTTTTTTTTTTGTGTGTGTGTGTGTGTGTGTGTGTGTGTGTACCAAGCAGCATTAAAGATTTAAAATAGAAGTTTGTGATTGAAAGTGACTTTTCAAAGAAAAATTTTCCAAATCTCTTGCATGCATTTCAAATAGATAAAAAGCAGATTTCATAAACCTCCAATAAACTCTGTCTAGTGAACAGAAAGAAAGAAGGTTAGAAAGCAAGATATCCTTGCCCACATTCTTAACATACACATAGTAGGAATAAATCTGGCAAATCAAGGGTAAAAAATATTATGCAGCTCTCAAAAAATCATCCAAATGGTTGATGCATGTGTTTGAGTACATTTTGGACTTTAGCATAAACACTGTCTTTATAGCTCAATTAATTATCATTTCATGTCGTAATTCACATAAGAAGATCATTTAGCAGATGCATGCATTTCCACTCATATACAGGAGTATTCAGTAACCATAAAAGAGCCTGCATTAGATATCTAAAACCAAGAAAATATAGGCATTCAAAGTGCGTAGAAATGAGAAACTTGCAAGGTGTGCAATTGTAATATTTATTTTGAATAATAAGAACCTGAATACCAAGCAGCATTAAAGATTTAAAATAGAAGTTTGTGATTGAAAGTGACTTTTCAAAGAAAAATTTTCCAAATCTCTTGCATGCATTTCAAATAGATAAAAAGCAGATTTCATAAACCTCCAATAAACTCTGTCTAGTGAACAGAAAGAAAGAAGGTTAGAAAGCAAGATATCCTTGCCCACATTCTTAACATACACATAGTAGGAATAAATCTGGCAAATCAAGGGTAAAAAATATTATGCAGCTCTCAAAAAATCATCCAAATGGTTGATGCATGTGTTTGAGTACATTTTGGACTTTAGCATAAACACTGTCTTTATAGCTCAATTAATTATCATTTCATGTCGTAATTCACATAAGAAGATCATTTAGCAGATGCATGCATTTCCACTCATATACAGGAGTATTCAGTAACCATAAAAGAGCCTGCATTAGATATCTAAAACCAAGAAAATATAGGCATTCAAAGTGCGTAGAAATGAGAAACTTGCAAGGTGTGCAATTGTAATATTTATTTTGAATAATAAGAACCTGAATCACACATTAGTGCATAGAAATTTCAGGGCCATAAAAGAAGAAAAAGGAGTATCTATCCCCTCCCCCCCACACACACATACTGAATGGATGAAACCACTGAATATATGTTCAACGTTATTAGTTTGGTTTTTATTATCTGAAAGAAGTTACCTAAACATCTACATGCTAAGGATATTTTTTTTTATAAAACACTGAATTTCTGTTCAGTAACATCAGATTTACTAACCAAAAAATCTTTCTGATCATTTTTACAAATTGCAGAAAGATAGATACGCCTAATTGTTATAGATGGCTGGAAATTTTTTTATCTGAATCAGGCAAATATTTATTTTTCCATACTTTGGCAATTGATATGCTGTAAATATTTTTATGTAGGAATAAGCAGAAGTAAATTTAAGTAAAAAATGAATCAGTTTTCTTTATATTTCTCTCAAAGTAGTTTATAGTACAGAAAGTGTTCAAATATCATTAAGGTGATGAAACATGTTGAATTTTATTTTATCCTTTAAGCCTAAACCTGTCACATCAGGGTTTGGAAAGGAAGGAATTTCAGTGTCACATACACATGGGAGAAGTAATCCTTGTAAATCAGAGGGGAGAATATACAGCTGCCAAAAAATCGTACAAATGGATGTATATGTTTAGTTCCTTTTGGATATTAGCATAAACAATATCTTTATAAATCAATCAACTAACAAATTATTCTGAACAGAAAAAAAATCTTAAGATTTTATTACTCAACACTATAGTTCTTACAAAAATTAACATTGCATGCTCACAAAGGAAGTGTATTTCTGTAAAAGAGATTATGATTTTAATTGAACTTGTTGCTTTGAATTGACGTGGATTAGGAAGTTATTCATTAGAACTTCAAATCCATTTTTTAATATTTTTTAAAGGCTGGCCCTTTTTCTGATCCTCTTGAAGTAGTCAGTGGAGCAGGTCCTCCAGATGCTCCACGAAACCTTACAGCAACCTGTGATTCTCCATTTAGCTGCCATTTATTTTGGGAAGAACCAATGAATAATGGTGCTGCCATTACAAGTTACCAACTTCAGTGGAGTATGGAAGAGGATGATGAAAGTTTTTGTGAGGTATACATTTTTTCCTCCTTCTCTTCTCCATATTTAAGTAAGTGATCTATTTTCTGTACTAATTTTGAATATTTTGCTTATAGCTTTATGAAGGTCTAAGTCTGAAGTACGAAGTACAAGGTTTAATTCCAGCAACTTCTTACTTTTTCAGAGTCAGGGTAAGTGCTATTATTTGTTCAATTATTATTATTGTGATCACCATTTAATTAATACTTTCAACATATAATAATTTTTTTGCATGTAAATAAGTAATGAGAAAAGAACTATTCTTGCTGTCGGAATATATAGTGGATTACTGCAAAAAATTAGGCTATTAATTTTGCATCAGACAATGTCACATTAGGATTTGATATTGTATTTTCATAAAAATAAGAGCTTTAACAATTTTTTTGCATTTGCTATATTAGTCTAAAGAGAATTTTACTTTTGTTATTTTTGTAAAATTTTGTTATTCCTCATTCTAGTATATAATTGCCAGAATAAGAGAATGACAATTTTTTATTTAAATAAACCAGTGAGTTCCATAGAATCAATGGCTTATTTTTAAAAAGAATTCTAATTTTAATTTTTAAAAAATGTTAATTTTTAATTTTATATTAAATTAACTTTTTTAAAATTAAAAATTAACATATTAAACTTTTTTCATAAATATTAATTAAAGAAATAGTAAAGAATAGTAATGCAAAGAGCAATTCATATGGCTAGAAATGTTAAAAATAATAATAATTAATTAATTAATTAAATTCAAATATTTAGAACAGTAAGCTTATCATATATTTTTAACCGCACTGTAGTTATTATTCTTGTGCTAATAATAATTAATTGATAATAATAATTAATGATAATTAATTGATTAAATTCAAATATTTAGAATTTTAAGCTTATCAAATATTTTTAACTGCACTATAATTATTATTATTGTTATTTTAAACGTTTCTAGCCATCTTAATTGCTCTTCGCATTAAAAAATAAGTAAAATCCAATTTAAATAACCAGAATTGGGAAATTAAATTCAAGCTAAATATAAGAGAAAACAAGATTTTTCAGTCCCAGTATGGTAAAAGCTCAACTATCCAGAATGCTCAAGAAATGATGAATTCCGGATATTAGTTGAGATACAAGAAATAATTCATAGTAGAAAAGCCATGTGAATGGAAAAAGAAATGTAAGGTCTAAAATTATGAAAACAGTCATCTTCTTTGCTATCAGTATAAAAAGCTTGCATGTAAAATTAGAGATTTTGAAAAAAAAAATGTATTTCATAAATAAAAATCTGATTTATTTCATCAGCCTTAAACATAAGAAAAAGATCATTTTTATATTAGAATCATAAGATTCAAGTAATGGATGTAGCATATGATAAACGTATGATTGCACATCACAGTTTTTCACATTGCATCATCATTGGTTATTTGTTTTCAAATAAAGTTGCATATTGTTCCCATTTAAACACATTTTTCTTGATGCCAAGACTGTAACTCTGAAAATATCCCATGTTGTTCAATAGAAAGAAGATCTCAAATTAACCATTTTTCAAATTGCAGGAAAAAGCACATAAATGACATGTATATATTTTTATATATATTATATATATATATATATATATATATATTTGCAAAAACTAAATCAAGAATGAATGTGATTTACATAAAATGTATATGTTGATTGCCCTAAAGGTCACTGGTGGCTGGCACTCGACTTGGCTAGAGCGATGTGGAGGCCACCAATGACCAGCGACATGATCAATAATAAAAATACATAATTAGAGTAGTTCTAATTACTGAACTGAATAAGACTAAGAAATCGGAGTAGTTGCTTAGCAACTGAAGCACAACAGTTTGAAACAACTGATAATTGCAAAAATGGTTTATAATGCCTCGGGGGTCACCAGTTTTCCCCACCACAAAAAAACACATTAAACACGATTATGTAACTCACCTTATCTTCTATAGATAATATTTCAACATAATATACATTGCATAATAAAAAAATTCATGTTGGCACCGTGGGTAAACCACATAAAATGCATGCTGGAGTCAATGTGTTAAGGCGAAGATTTTCATAATTAAGAGGTGGGTTATGGAGTTATGCTGATAGCAGTTGCAAAATGCCCCATATTACAAGAGGTCTCTAATAGTTAACTTGAAAAATAATAAATGTATCATATGTCATAAGAAGAAGAGCTCCAAACATCGTAGGTGAGGTGAGCCTGTCACACCATAAACCTGCCTCTGTTCATACTGCTGCAAATTTTGAAGCAGGCTGATCTAAATTAAATTGCTAAAGTTTTTTCTTTTTTTTTTTTTTTTTTTTTTTTAAATATGCTGCTTTTTACTTGCTATGTTTTAAAATTTTTTCTACTTTTAAGATCTAAAATAGATTTAGTAATCATCATTTTCTTTTGCTTAGAACATTCATACCTGCCTCTATTACATGATGTCCTTTGCCATAATCAAATAGAGTACAAAGTCAGAAATCTGGTCTCATTGGGATTTTGGCAGTTCTGAATTTGGGATTATTTTCGATATAAGCTTATCAATTTAAATCTAGTAAGATGACATGTAGAAATTGTAAAATTGAAAGTGTGAAATTGTGATTTATGAAATAATGAAGCATGTATGACCGTAAAGGAATAAAAATTTACAAAAAAAAATTGGAAGCTTAGCATTTATTTGTTTGCTTTATTAAACATTTATTTCAATGTAGATTGTTTAAGTTGCTTTGTTTTTTGTGCTAATACTTCCTCTTTAATTCTATATGTAGACTTAGTTTTTTTATTTGGTTACAAAGTTCAAAGTTTCAAGTCCTGTCATTGTCATGTCAAGAATTCTCACTAAAATATCGATTGAAATTTTTTCGTTCTCAACAAGCTGTTACTTTCTTCATTATCAATAGTCATATTTTCTGGATTTAGAACCATACTACAGATTTTCCCATCCATTCATTGGTTGATGATCATGGCATTATCATTGCAATGAAAACCTTCTGTTATCTTCATTTATTATTGCTTCTCCACATTTCTTCACAAATTCCATTAATTGGAAAATTTCGCTTTTTGTTTGCGGTATCTTCAAACTTTCAAATTTGTGTCTATCATAATAAATAAATAAATCATAATAAAGGCTATCATAATAAAACTTATCTGCCATCTGCTATAGACTATAGGTAATGTATTTATGAGATTGTCAACTAAAGACATGTTATTATGCTAAATTTTGTCTTGCTTTGACCTTATGCTGAGAAAGTACAGTCTGAATTATGTTAGTTTAATTATTTATTATACTTGTATGTGTTTCTTATACATGTTTTAAGGTTCAGTCCTGAATAAATAAATTCCCACATATACTTACTTTTGCCATCACTTAATTTTGATGCCCAGTGCTTCTCTAAAAATTTTGCCTCCCCTAAATTCTGCCATCTGGTGTGACTACACCAGCTCCAGCTCTGGCAACAGTTCTGGGCTTATCTGATTAACAAATCATTTATTCTCAATATGAATAGCACCAGTTGGTAATCTTTGAGCCTGTGAGTAGTATCATTTACAAATGTGCATATGGAGAGAACGTACATATGCAAATATGCACATTCTCTCTGTATTGTATTTACATATGTACATATGAAATATTTTTTGCATATGGAGAGAAATTTCTGTTAAATTTTTTATTGTCAATATACTCAAGACTTCACAGAGTTAGCTGAAGTTTGTAATCATCACCAAGCATAATGTCAAGGAAAGCTTGTCGTGCTCTTTGGTATTGAATTATTAATATTTTAAAAAAGAAACAAACTTATTTAGGCATTACTGTGCGAGTCATTTCTGAAACTGCTGTGTGTTGATAATCATGTGATGATGGAAGCATGAAATAATAAATAATGGTTCTTCAGGTTGGTGTTAGGATATAAATTATTTAGTAGATGTAAACGTTTCTATGTAGAATATTTTCGTTTGAGATGTATCCCAAGCAAAATTGTAGCTATAAAGCCAAATTTTTGATAATACCGATTTAGGCTAATAAGTGACTGTTGCTTCGATGTGAAGCTATTTTATTTAGTGCAGAAGTGAATTGGAGAATCATTAGATTGTTTTTTGCTTTGAGAAAATGCATCTGTTTTGGACAACAAAAATTGCATGTATATTGTGCAGTATCTTTCATTGTGCAGAATAAAAGTTGCATCTGTGCATAATGAAGTATATGCTCAGATGTAATTGTGCAATATATTTTATTGTGCAGAATAAAAGTTGCATCTATACATAATAAAGGGTGTGCTCAGGTGTAATTTTTAAGGAGAAGTGGATCTTTAATTCAATGCAGAAGTGGACAACCACTGAAAAATTGCAAGTTCTGCATGAGTATGAACATGAGAAAAATCAGGGAGAATTCCTTCTGAAGAGAAGATGACTGCAAAGGGTCCTTGTCTACTGCAAACATCCATTTTGAAAGAGGAAGAAGGTCAAGTTACAGCCAAGCAGTGTCATCCTAGGCGAGATGAGGCAAACAAGGAGCTAATATGTTTAGAGACAATTCCATACAATACTTCAGAACCACCTTGAAGATGAAAAGCAAATCACTTTAGATAATTCTTGAAACTTGGATCATCTCCTAAACACCCACACACTGGAAAAAAATTCTCGTACAAAAGGTCAAAAATAAGTGTAACTTCTATTAAAAGGCTAGGAATATTCACACTAAACTAAAAAATTCTGAAATCTGTGTACAGTGTAATGCACGTAAATATTTTTTAGCAATCATAATTCAGTAAGTTATTAACATTTTAACATTGCTGCTATTTTTGATAGTATACGATTCCCCCCCCTTTTTTTAAAGATTTTCATCCACCTTAGAGACATATTAAAATTATCCGGGAAAAGAGACTTGCATAATGATCATTGTTGTGGAATGAACTGTGTTCATTATGTGAGATACCTTGCATTAAGAATAATTTACATTTAAGATTTTAATTACTGTTGCATTATAAAATTGTGCTTTTATATTTTATTATTTTTCTCCACTTGCTGCAGGCAGTAAATGAAGCTGGTCAAGGACCAAATAGTGATTTTGTTACGTGTAGGACTCCTTCTTCTGTACCTGGTGTGATATCAGTTGTAAGTGTTAATGCCTTCTCAAATGCATTGTATTTATCTTGGAATGAACCACCATCTAATGGCTCAGAAATTACAAGCTATAATGTTGAATTAGATGACTTTTTATACAATACAGAAGAGAATGTTCTTGAACTTTGTATAGAAGATCTGTTTCCTGAAACTGTGTACAGGTAATTTAATTTAATTTGGTCAGTTTAATTTTTAGTGAAAGTGAATAACTATGTGGTACATTTTCACCATTTCTCCATTTGTAAAATAAATGCATAAGATCTCTCAACTGTCTAGTATTATTTATTATAATCTATTAATTTATCATATGTTATATGATAGGTTATAGACATATAGGGTGCATGTATATATCATGTTTTTATGCATTTGTATGTGTATAACAAAGTACAGTTGTTAGGGTGTGTAGTATTTATCTTTTGGGGCCCTCTGCAATCAACTGTAGAGAGCTATAAAAATAATTTTAAAATAGAAATGACCTGTAAAATTAGATATTGTAAATTTATTCTCACCAGTTAACTTGTTCCCACAGTGAATATGATGAACCATAAAGTTAAGCATTACAGATTTACACTTAAATATGAAATAAAATTATTTCTGTAGTGGTTTGTACTTCTTTATTAGGTGCAACATTGGAGTTCATTATTCTTTACTCTAGTTTTGCCTTCTTTCTGAAAATCTTATTTTTCTGGAAATTTCATTATAGTTTATACCATTTGGAACAGTTTAAAATAAGTAATAAGCTGCCAACCATATTTTAAGGGAACATGTTAAATCAGTAATCAAAGAACAGAATCATAGATCAAGTCAAAGAACAGAATCAACATAATTTGAATTGGTTAATTCTAAGTGCATTCTGTAGTGAATCTGTTTTCGTGCCTTGTTCATTTCTTTTCTGTCTGTAGTAAATAGTGAGTATATTTATGTTACTGGCCTATTGTTGTTTCTCTTTTAATCTACTTGATCCATATTTTTAGGTATATTCCTAAACTTAATTGACAATCATGATGTTAATGAGAAGAAAATGGAATAATGATAATGTGTAGTTTGGTTTCACTTGCAGCTGAAAGAACAGCACATATGCAGCAGAACATAATGCAAAGGTTCATACTTAAGTTTTTTTTAAATCTGAAGCTATCTAAACTGCTAGAACATTTCAACAACTAGATTTTGCAGGCCATGATGTTGAATTGTTAAAAGCTAAAAGTGTCCATTTAGACTCTCAAGTAACCCTTCCAAAATTAGGTTTTATAACAACTGAAAAACCACCACTGATGGCTTCAAACCATGTGGTACACAAAGCAGTCAAATGCAAGAAGTCTCGTACTACTCGAAGCTGTATTAAAACATTCTGTTTCAAGTTGTTTCCGATATTAGATTTAGTTTCATAAAAATCTCTCTTCAGTTGGACAAAACAGCTGATGTTCAAATTGCAGTCAACTCATTGTTTTGGTGAGGTATGTCTATGATGTTCCTATAATGTAAGATTTCCTGTGTCTGTGACGATATGAAAACAACCACTTGAAAAATGTCTTCCAGTATGTGAAGAATTTCCAGGCAAAGTATAATTTTGATATCCAAATTCTTGGTTTTGTGTGTAGTACTGATGGTGTCCCTGCTATGTTAGGAAACAAATCAGAACTTTTTCCACTTATGAAAACTAGACACTCTGCACTTACAAGGTACCTACTGTTTTCTTCATTGACATACTCTGGCATCAAAAACATTATCTCTACTGATGAAAAAAGTAGTTGACCCTTCAGTGAAAACCATTAACAAGGATTAGGGAAGGTGCTGCCTCTTTAATTGTTTTGTGAAGAATTTAGAAGTGAATATTCAGTTTTTGTTTTCCATATGGAAATCTTTTGTGTGTCATGTGGGAATTCTTTAATACACTTTTTTGAACTGCAAGAAGTCGAAGCTTTTCTCAAGAGCTCAAACAATAATCTGGTTGGAGAAATAGAATGAGAATTCAACTAAATTTTAACCTATTTGAGTGATATTTTCACTTATATATATGAATGACCTGAGTATATATATCTGTTCAAGTTTAAAATGTAAATGTATTATGCTGTAAGAAAGTCAACGGTTTCAAAGTAAAGTTACAACTTTTGGTGTAGAGGAGGTAGGAAAATAAATCTTTCTAATTTTCCATCTCTGAAAGAAATGGTCGATAAAAATAAGTTTCTAATTCCAAGTGCATGTGAAGAAATTGTGGATCATTTGTAAATATTATCAAAGTAATATGATGGGTATAAGTGAGGAGAGCTGAAAACTTTGGAAACATGAATTATAAACTCGTACTCTTTCAATTTCGATAATGTATTGGATGATGAAGGGCTGAAAAAAAAAATCTTTAAGAACTGCAGTGAAATCATATTCTTGAAATCTAGTTCAAAGCAATACTTTCGAACAATATAGGTGTTCACCAATGAATATGTCCCAGAACTTAGTGAAAAGTCACTAATTATGCCCATCTCATTTACAACGAAGTACTATGCAAGTCTGGATTTAATGCTCTTTTGTTAATCAAAACAAAATTTAGGAATCGCTCTGGTTTTCACAAGTAGATATGGGAATTGCTGTTGGCAATAAAGTGTCACAAAGTCAATTTCTTTTTTAAAGTTTTATAAAAAAGTTAATTTTTGTAGTATTTTCTTATTTCCATGTTTCGTTTTTGCTTATTAAAATTTAACTGCACAAGTTTGTTTTCTTTCTTTCTTCCTCTCTGTCTCTTTTTTTTTGGGGGGGGATTAATATAACCATACAAAATATAGTCTTTTGTCAATTTGATAAAATTGCTTTTTTAAAATATACTTAAAGGATCTGGAATGCACGAAATCTTGATATCAACATTAATATTACATAGTCTTTTTCTGCTACATATATGACAACAGTCTATAAAAGATCTACTAAAAAAACTGAAATGTAACAGTTATTTCTAATTCTAAATTTGTAAGTTTCCAAGTCTGTTATATTTGTGGCTTTTACCTGCAGTTTTTAGGAGTATTATTGATTGACTTCTTTAATCTTTATCATGCTTAGTGAACTTAAACTAAATGTTTAATATGATTACTTTTAGTTTCAGGGGAAAAGAGGTTTTCGTAATAAAATTGCATGAATTTTAAATGAATGAATTTTTTCTCATTTCCTCAACAGGAGTTAAGCAGAATGTATTGATTTAATGAATATTTTATTCTGTATTAATAAATTATAAAAAAAATTACAAGTTTCCTTTTTAGAATTTTGAAGAATTTTCTTTCAGTTGAGCCAGTTTAGTTGTATTAGTATCATGATAATATATTATTATTTTAGTAGTAGCATTATTAAGTAGTTGTTATTCTGTGAAATAAATAATTTTTTGCATGTATGAAATATCTTTCATTTATTCTTTTCACTGAGATAAGTGCATAATTTTTAGTGCCATTGCATAACTGTTTTTTAATATCTTCTAATTTAATAAAAAACTCAAATTAACAAATTTTACCATTGATCCTAAGTAGTTTCAAATTTTGCTTTCTTAATGCTATGCATCAGCATTATTTAATATATTATTGTTAGATCAGTGTACATATTTACTTATGTAAGATGATCATTTTGCGGATTCTCAGTTTATTTAATAATTGAACTTTTTCTGGCAGATAAGCAAATATTAAGATGGAATTTAAAAAGCTACTGTGACTAATCATTTGGCTGTTTTAATGTAATGCTTAAAAATTCTTAAAAGTTTTCCAGAATAATATAATTTTGTGCATGTGTTTAAATAAATAACATGTTACATTATAGCATTTAAAAATTCTGAAACTGATGTGATAAACTGAATATTAATGCATTTTTAGACTTTTATATTATAAATGGAAATGAATTTAAATTAAATTATTAGACATGCATAAAAATAAATTGTTCTGTAGTTCATATAAGTATTTCTATAAACATTTTGGCTACTTCTTCCTCATGGATTTCATTTCTGGGATGTAGAATATCATTATCTATTGATTATTGATTTTATAAGGTTTTAGCTAATGTCTTCAAATGTGATGTGCCTAAGATTTTAAGTCTGATAGAAATAACAGTGTCTGGCAAATTAAAAATAATTGTGCAGGTAGGATTATATCATTGCCTTCTCTTTCTTGCAATAAAATTGAAATACAATTTCAAAGTACCAGGTTGCATTATAAAAAAAAATTAGGACAAGGTCTTTATTAGAGATTTCATCTATGGGAACATACTTGAGAAGTGTAGTTGTGTCTTGTAACTTATTTGTACTCTGATAAATTGGTTACAAGTACTGTTTATGTAGTAACTTCTCAGCTAGATCATTTTTTATTTTGATAAAAAAAATTTTAACCATAATTATCGTTCTTTTTCAGGGTTCGGGTTCAGGCTATTAATGAAATTGGTGAAGGTCCATTTAGTGAATCTGTCCAGGCAACCACATTGAAATCTCCTCCTCTCCCTCCTGAACTAGAATGCATAGCTGTTAGTCATAACTTCTTAAGGTTGAGATGGGGTGAAAACAAAATCGATGAGTCTGTGTGTTTTACAGTAGAAATGTCCAGTAAATCAAAGAGGTAATGATGAAGTTATTTAATTTATTCTTCCTTTTTTTATGCTATGAAATCTTTTCCCAGATCGAAAGTATTTTTACAATGTATGTTATATGCTTTTATTTTAATTTAAATCTCTTACTTTTAGGTGAATAAGGATTAAAAATTCATTGGACTTATGAATTCATATTTTTAATAGTTAATTAAATTCACAAGAAAACAACACATTTTTATTAATTTTGTGAAAAGCATAATGAAATTTAATAAATTTTGAAGTTTGAATTCAAGTTTTCTTTTATTATATGCTTCTATATGTTTCTACATTTTTTTATTTGTTAAACTTTTTGTTAGTTTTCTTCCCTTTTTGTTAGAGTAATTAAAGAAAATTTATACTGTGTAACTGTAAGAATAAGATAATTTTGGATATATTAATTGTTTTCTAACTATAAATAGAAGCTCACATTCATTAGTAATATGATCAGTAATTGAATAGTTAAGAGACATAGCAAAAATAAGAATGTTATTGTTTTATATTTATTAGTATTTTTAGTTTGGCATATATAGTTAGGATATTACAAAAATACTATATCAAACTGTAATTATTTTATGTATTTTTAGCTTTGTGCCAGTTTATCATGGAACGGGACTTAGTTGCAAAGTAAATAGGCTACAAGAAAATACCTCTTACAATTTCCGCATATATGCCTCCAGTAAATCTGGTCAAGGGCCATTTTCTCCAATATATACTTTTCAAACTGGTCGAGCTCCTCCTCCATCACTTAAAGGTAAAAATGATATGAATCTGATATCATTTTATTATGAAAAAAGTTTCTAAGAATAACAGTGTAAATTTTTAATATCTTTGTATTATAGGATAAAAAGTTAATTGTATTATTTATTTAATGAACTGAACATTAATTTTGTTCCTCCTTCAAGAAATATAATAGTTTTACAAATGTGTGAATTCTGTGTTATTTTATGTATTCTGAAATCCCTGCTAAATATGTAAAAGCAAAATATTACTTGCGAGTTTTTTTATTACTTGATTATGAAAGCACTATTTGATGAATCCAGTTTATGTTCTGTGTTTATCTGTATTTTGGTGATTTTATATGTTTTATTAAATTCTGCGTTTACACATGGTTTAAATTCATATTAGTATGTAAAAGTGAATAGTTGACTGAAGTTTGTTTAGTACTCTGATATTAATTCTGCTTGTTCAGTCAGCTGGAAATAAACAGATGATCAGATTAATGTATCAAAATAGCATGGCCAAACTGCTGCTGCTTGAGTGATTAATCCTGGTTTCACTCTTTAACTGTGACATGTATTTCAGAAAATTGCACCAAAAAGGGAAATTTTTTTAATGTTTAATTTTGATTTTTTATATCAATATAAAAGTTAGAAAATTGTTATCTAGTAAAAAATAAATAAATAAAATTTTAAATGCAGTAACTACCATATTTACTATTTTGGCATATGTAGGAAAAAGTAATTGATTACAGATACATTATTCAATTTCAGCAAATTAAATAAAATTTTGAAGCTAAATATAATATAAACCACTGTTCATACAATAATATGATTTTCAGTATTCTAATTTTTTCAAATCCTTTACTATATGATATATGCCAAAACATAGTACTGCACACAAGGCCATGTCGCACTCTTTGCGGTCAATTCGTGTCTCACATTGTATCCTCTTCCCTTTTTCATGGGTTTTATGACAGCATATTAAACACTGTCTGGTTGGCCAAAACAGAAACCTTGGAGGGGCAGAAGCAAGGTTATCCAAACATAATGGCTTCCAGTCTCTACACAAAGAAATATACTGTTATCATCACTTTTCCTAAATTTGTCTATTGAACTAGCAGTATCCAATCCCAAAGAACCTAAATTGTATTCCTCATCGACATCTGAATCAGACATTCCAAGAAAAAAGAAAATTTACAGAAAAACAGCCATAACTAAATGTGTGAAGGAGAAACTCTCATTCGCAACATGTGTCTTATGTTTAGTAGAGCGCTCATCACACCCATACCTTCCCTTGACTGAAATCGGTGGAAAAGTAGAACCAGTAAAGCCATCTATTATGAAAATAGTGAATTAAGTCTTAAATCAATAGCCTCAAGTAAAAACGAACTCTATTCAGGCTTCAGGAAATAGAAACACTAATTTTTCTTCTGCCCAAAGCCAGTTCGAACATCACAAATCCTGCATGTAGTAGTTGTCGAAACTGACTCGGGTGACACTGCAAGTAGTTAAGTTGTATCAAGCAGTTTGTTTATTTTTGAAATATAATTACAGTTTGAAGAAAATTTTGCTGTGTGTTTCTTTGTGGATCATGCAAGTCTTTAACAATCAATAACTTCATTTTCTTAAATTTCATTTTGCATATGCAAATAATAATTTCATAATACAGTAAGAGCTTAACTAATTGGAAAATTTTGCTGTCTCTAAATTTTGCTACCTGGTGCTTCACTTAGTTCCAAAAATTCTGCTGACCTGGTGTTAGTCCTGGTGAGCATATAAAAATACAGTATAAAATTCTAAAATGTAGCAATTATTTGAATTTTCTGATTAATTGAATGCTGGATAGTTGGGTTTCTTATATAATTACAAAATCTTGGTATTCATTAGTCATTAAAATCATAAGCAAAGAAAAATGCTTCCATCCTTTTAACATACTGCCATCACAATGCTGTTTTACAACAAGGTGTGGCTATCAAGAAAGCAGCAAGGATTTACACATCAGCAACACATTGTATAAAAAATATACTCCATATCTGTGGTAGATCGCTATGGTTGTAGCTTCCTCTTTTAAAAACAAAGTGTGTCTGATAATTCAGATTGTATATATCCAAATCAATTTAATGATTGCTGTATTTCTTTGTTTGCCGTGATGTTAATTGTCAAGAGTTAATATTTTTTCCTTTCTTTTCTTTAATGGAAAAATTACATAAAGCTGATAGTTTATTAATAAGTTTTTTTGTCATACCTTTGTGATGAAACTGGATAGCTTGCCCAACGTATAATCAGGAGGTTCAGAGCTCGAATTTCAGTGAGGGCATTGTGAAATTCTCCAGTTTCCTGAGATTGAAAAATTCTAAAAAGGCAGCATAGTGGCACTTGAACTAAAAGGTGGTAGACATTAATTCGTTACCACCAGAGTTTTGCCACTGGGTCCCCTTATCCCCTCCCAGTCACCCTCTAAAAGGGGGAATTGTAAAGTATTTTCTCTTTGGCTCTGAAATCACTTCTCAATCACCAGTATGGATTTCATAGAGGTCATTATGCAACTGGTCAGGACAGTGGAATTTATCAGTTTGTCCATATATAAACATCAGACTAACTGCTTTCCTCGTGGTGGATGTGGTCAAAGCTGTCTGGGATAATATCCTTATCTACAAGCTTATGAACCTAGATCTCTGTGGGGGTAATTATCTTAATTATTTACTCCTTTACTGGTTAATGACCATTCCTCTTATATTAGGCAGGGTGATTACTTCTGTACAAACAAAATTATTCAAGCTGATGTCTTGCTAGGTTCGATCCTTGGTCTAATGCTCTATCTCATCTGTGTCATGGATTTCTGTATGGTTAATAACAACCCAAACTGTATTACCATATGTAACATCGATGACACAGCAATCCTTTCTAATTCCCTCAACCCTAGTTTCACTATTATCTGTATTCAGGATAAATGCCTGAGATAGAAAGCTGGTGCTGTCATTGGAGAATGAGCATCAACACTTCTAAGTCATAGTTGCTTCTCGCCGGCTGTCATAGATGCAAAAACATTGATACCAACCTATCGCTTTTTAGTGAAACAATCCCCAAAGTTAAAAAAGCTTGGGGTATGTTTCAGTGCCACCTAGCTTGTGGTACATGTCAGCATCACTCTATCACTTGGAGTGCACATATTTCAGCTGCCATAGGCAAAGCCATTGGAGTATCCAGAAAATTAAGATGCCTTTTCGAATCATCTTCCTCTTTGGACCTTGCGCAGAAAAAAGAGGATCTATACATCTATCTTGCGACCCATTCTTACATATGCCTCGCTTGCTTGGAGTGCTGCCTCTAAATCAGACCTCAATAAGCTGCAAGTTTTTCTAGAACACTTTCTCTTATGCTGTATCACAGAAGCTCCCTGGTTTATCAGAAAAAAGCAATTACACAGAGACTTGAAACTGTCCACTTTTATCTCATCACTTTCATCAGCAGTAATTTGTACACCAAAGCTTTACACAACAAAGATTCCCATTACGCAGACAACTTGAAATCTGAATTAATAGAAATAGACATTAAAGTAAAGCCATATGCTACCACCCATGTCCTCAGAAATCCCACTCTGAGCAGTTAATGCTCCCTAACATTCATCGTAAATTTTGGTTTACTTTATATGTTCTTATTATATCTCAGTCTACTTACTCTGCTTTGCATTCATCTTGGTTAGAGCTGTGGCTGTTGTACATTGTAGCATAGCATCTCTTGCAGATCCAAAATGCTTATTTGCACATCCGGACATTTAACTTCTGATCCACCATTCTGTACCTCGTGATCATGCATTACTCCCGATTTGTCTTTTCTAGTCATGTGTGACTACTCTCTGTGCAAGCTTTCTCCCACTGCAATCTTTACATTCCTAAGTCTAGTGTCTCTGTTTTACTAAGTTCTTTATAATTTTTTCAAACTGGAAAGTTCCCTGACGTTTGGTATGTGTGGTAACTCCACCCAGGGATTATTTAAAGTGCTAGAAAAAGCAAGAAAGAATTATATTAATGCCAGAAAAATTGAAAAGTGTCGAGAATTTTTCTTCTTCCTTTCTGTGTGCCTTTGTAACTGGTAGGACATTGGGCATGTAATTGGGAGATCCGGAGTCTGAATCCCTGTGAGGGTATTGCGGATTTCTGATGTTTCTTTACAACAATAAACCTATTAACTCAGCATAATTTAAATAGTTCAGTCCATGTCACAGACTTTCCAACATCAGCTTCCCGCCTTCGTTTTCATCAGAAGTTATATGGGTTACAAATAAGGGATAATTTCTGATTCTGGTCTTCAAATTATTATATAGATGTTCTTTCAATTAACAGCCTTTTACTTTTTTTAAAGATCACTGTGTCATCTTTTGAAAATTGTGGTTTCAAATATTTTTCTCATTATAATTGTCATCTGATTATATTAAAAAATTAATCAGTCAGCACTTCTAACGAGAAAAACATTTGAAACTGATAAAATGCTTATTTTTCTGTTAGAAACAAATTCTATATTGTAACAAAGATGCATAGTTGTAAATACTTTCCTGAATTCAAACCTAAAGCAAGACTGATAGTTTGTTTATTTTTTTAAATGAGAAATTTTAAAATGTGAAGTTTGTATTGAAATGTTTCTTTCTATTCACAAACTCTTTTACTGCTTTCAAAATTAAAATGTCTTAAAAATCTAGTTACAACTACTGAATATTTCTGAATTCTAACATGTGGGGACTACTGACAATGAAGTTCAACTATACCTGGCATAAAATTTTTTAGTAAAGTTTCTTCTGAAAAAATGCAACCCTTCAAAAATAAATAAATAAAATAAAAAATGAGTAAATATATAAATACAACAAGGTATATCACTTCTGCCCATGCCAGTTTTACAAGATTTGAGGTAACACCAAAATTATAATAATCATCATGAGCACTGTCATTGTGGGATTGAGTGATGAAGTAACTTTCATGCAACAAATTACACCACCATTAATTGAAAAAGGAGGTATTATAATGATATTTTGTCTGGGTGAATTAATAGGATAGGTCCATGTTTATGAAAAATTACTACCTAATATAAACATAAAATCCATCAGATTTTGTTAAAAAAAATAAGTAAATAAATATCTTTTTCCTGAAGATCAGAGTGCTGCTTCAAGTATTAGCTCGAGAATTTTTATATTTATTTTAGTAAGATATAATCTGAAGAAACATTACTGATTTAATGATTCTTTCATATTTTTCTCTCAATGTGGCATGTATTTAGATGTGTGTGATCTTAGAGACAAGTATACAGCCAATGTCTGTCAATTCAGAGAATATTCAAGTTGCATGCAACTCAGCAGTGGCTTGAGAGCCATCATCTTCCAGAGGTTTTGGAAAAGGAAAAGAGTTTTTTTTTTTTTTTTTTTTTTTTTTTTTTTTTGTCAAAAAGTAGTCTTTTAGTTAAAGAAAGGAATAGCATTATTATAGTCAAGTGATGAAGTACTTGATTTCAAGTGAACAATTTGTAAAGGCATCAAACCATTAAAGTCATTCATAACTATTAATTTTGTATACTCTCTGAATTAGATATAGGAATGTGTATTTATTTTTAAGCCTCAAATGATAAAATACCTTGACACAGCTGTGTACTACATCATAACATTTATTGTTTAAAATAATCATTTGTTTTCCCATAAACATACTGAAAACATTTATAAGAATGTGGCATATATAAATCATGGGAGAAATGGAGCATTGTATCTGAAATTTTTCATTCATTTGCAATAACACCACCAATTAAAGGATTGAAATATTTAGCTAAGGGTACTTTAATTTATTTATGATAAATATATTTTTTCAGTGTTATGTGTAGCAGAATTATATACATTAATAAGATCAAGTTCCAAGCTCACTTTATTTTGTTTATTTTTATTCTCTTTTATTTTTTCCCAGTTTGAATGCTACAATACTGATCGTCCCCCTCCCTTTTTTTTTTCTTCATTATTTGGTAATATTTTATCATATTTAAAATTTGTTTTGTGTCATTTTCTCCTTGAATGTACTGTTTATATTTACTTTGCTATATATGTACAGAAGTTTTATTGGAAATATTTTAATTTAATTTTCTTTTTTTCCCAGCCCCTAAAGTCATTAGTGTAACAGAAAATTGTTGCCATGTTGAATGGAGTGGCATTAAACAGCTTCCAGGAAATTCTGTAACGTATCAATTGCAGCTTACACCTGCATCTTCTACAGATAGTGTAATTGTAAGTTTAATTTTTTATAATTCTGAAAAATTTTTAATCTTTTTCTATTCATTTCTGACTGATTAATGTTAGAATATCAGAGTTAGAGATGATGATGAATGAGAAAATATTTCTAGTTTTTATTAATCACAGGAAAAGGGAAACATTTGCAAATAGTAACAGCTTTTGAATAATTTGTAGAGTAAAAGTACAGTGTAGACAGCTATTAAGTACTTGAAAATATAAGAGTAAGAAGAAGCTAATTTTTTTAAATCGGGATGAGCCGAATTGGCATGAAGAAAAAAGACATTTGGGTGATTTCCAACACCTTATAATCCTGAAATTAAATGTGCCTGTTATTTATATTTTGGTGAAAGAAAGGAAGATATTTAACTCATTGCCTGCCATAATCCCCATATGGAGATTTTTGGTGCTTGGTGAGCTGGTGAGGTCATGTTTGTTTGCAGTTGATATATTTGTTGCATATTTACATGCTGGTGATTTCTGGCATCTTGCAGTGAAAAAGAAGAAAATCTACTGTGTTTAAAATAGTGTTAAGAATCAATATATTGAATATCATATTGGATTCTGTCTAGAATATTTAAAGCCATTGCATAAAGAAAAGTTTGTAACTCTCATGTTCCCCAAAGGAGGATCTCTAAAAAAGTATATGATTGCAAACAAGTGATTTCAAGGGATAAAAATATATTAGTCATATCTCTGTCAGGTAAAAGGAACATATATTTTAACCATTTTCGCTACTACTAAACTTCACGGTTGCGGTGCCGTGCGCTACAATATTAACAAGTGGTAAAGTGTCTCATTTATGCTGCTCCGCATCTGCGAGTGCAATCTAGAACTGTAACTCGAGAAATAAACAATCTCGTTGTTAGGTGGCGTGTGCACCACATTATTTTCATTTTTACGATAAATGCCTATCGACGTGGTGTTCACGTCGCTCGCGGTTTGAGACAAAAGCATTTCGACGTGCGTGGCACGTCTTTTTAGCGTAAGTGGTTAAATAAAATTTGGTTTTAAAAATATGGTAATTAACCAATTAATTTTAAGAGTGGCATTCACGAGCTTGCTTTACTGTTTTTAAGAGTAATGGATATAAATTTATATTAATTTTGTGTTACTTTATTTGTTAGTATCTGTGTGGTTTATTTTCTTGGTTAAGTTGCATAAAAACTCTTGCATAAGGCTTTCTTTCTCTTATTTTGTCTTTGGAAATTATTTTAACTGAACTTAGCTACAAAACTGTACTCATGCATCTGTTTAATTGTACACATAAGATGGAATTTAGAAAATGAGACATTAAATACCTCATTAATGTCTTTGCACAAAAGTGCATCACATGCTGTAAAATGTTGCCACACAAAAGTGTTAAGCGAATATGCTTTTAGAAATAACTTTGACTTTTTGTAAGTATGCATTCTTTTTAAGAAACTTTGAAAATTGAAGAACCTTATGATATCATAAAATGATTAAAAATCACTTTGAATATCTGGTTGTTTCAATCATTTTTTTAAAAATAACTGCTGTCATATGAAATGCAACTCTTACTTTGTAATTTTGTATATGTGAATAAAAAATTTATTTATATAATCATGAATTGGAAGTTATAACTAAATGCATAGTATTTCTTGTAATTATTTTAAATTTTATTATTGGATATTATACATCACAGTGTATTTAGTGTCCTTCATAAGTTAAGTCAGGGCTCAGTGTTTGTTAAATTATATAAGAAAAAAAATTATGATCTTAGTGCAATAAGTGAAGGTTGATGACAGCCTTTAAAAAAATTCGTGCATGAAAATTATGGCTGTGTTGGCATAATATGATGTAATAAATAATTTCATATGTCCTCTTTCAAAGATATACTAAACTGCATAATAGTTGCATATTCTAGCATTTAAAATCGGAGAAAAAAATGAGCAACTATTCCTTTAAATGTTAATGTGCCCCATACGTCAAAATATTATGGGTGCAGCAGTCTTGATGTTCTTAAGATTTTCTTTTCTCCAAATCCTATTAGTTTGACTTTTGCATAATTGTCCAAATAAAACTGCAGTGCTCCTTTAAAAAAATAAAAAATACAGAATGAGATTAAAAGTTGCTCCTAGCAAAAGTAAGTATGTTTGTATTAATTATTCATGTTGCATGATATCATAATCACTGGGTTTGTGTTTTATGTTTGGCGTTTTGTCTGTGTAAAGTAAAACTACCAAATTATTTTAAATTTCATTCCAGGTTTATCAAGGGACCGATACAAAGTGCGTAGTTGATAATCTAGAACCTAACATGCACTATTTATTACGTGTTGCAGCAGTGCGGCATTGTGATGAAGGTGATTTGATGGGTAATTTTAGTCCTTCTACTGCCTTCACAAGTCCAAATGTTGATATTACACCACAGGCTCTCACAGCTGCACCTCAGACCATTTCTCACAGTGAAAGGAGGACAATGAATGACAGACATTTAGCAGCTGCTTTGGTTTTTGCCTTTCAATTGTTCTCATTTCTGGTTGCCATGTTTTTAGAACATGTCTTCTGCCTGAGCGCACCAACATAAATTTTTCTCCTTTTCATACATACTGTAACACAGTTGCTCATTCCTGGTGCTTTACTGCTTAACAGTGACTACGTCTGAATTGGATATTGCGGGGAATTTCATATTTTATAATTAGGTTCAAGCCTCTTAAAATTCATCTGTTTAAATGTATCCTGATCCTTTTAATTATCTTCTGTACTGTATATCAGAAAGGTTGAATATATTTAATGTCTGTTGTTTAATATATTCTTTTTTATTTTGTTCAGAGATACCTAAAAGTGTTTTGAGAAATATTGCAAATCATATCTTATTGTTATTTGCTTTCTTTTGAGATTTGAGAATTATATATATACGGATATATATGCACATATATATTTTTATATTTTATTCATATAATAAGTTCATGTTCAGAAAATTTGTAATTGTAATTTTTGTTTTGTAAATTCTCACATTTTCGTATTGCTCATAACATTTAAACTATACCAGTGTTGGCCAAGCTAATTTATAATGCTTTTTTAATATTTCTATCTTTATAATGCAGTAAATAAACATTTAAGTGTTTATTATTAAAATATATTTCCCAAAATGCATAATCAAGAGCATTGAAATACAAATGATTCTAACTACTTTGAAATGAAAATGTCCTTTATCTGATTTAATTCAAAGTTTGCGTCGCTTCAAACTGCAGTGTTCATTTCATGTGTGCAAGCTTTCTTTATTTTTATGCCTCCAAAACCTTTGAAAAAAGCTTTGATTTAGAAAAAATAATCACTTGCATTTATAGTGCTGTACTGAACCTTTTGATGGTGCATTTTTACTGCTTAGGAATTTTGTCAGATTGCAGGTATTCACTGTTTGTGTGGAAATTGTAATGTATGAAGTTTTTAACCTTCCTTGTAAATTTTAAGCTTTGGGAAATGAGTGTATTATAAAGTAATGCCTATATCATGTGGCATGTTTATGAGCTTAGGGTATTTCATATTTCAAAGTCTTTTTATGAAATTGTTATGAGGGTTACCTGTGCATAGAAGATTATGTTTATGTGAAAAATAAAACTATGTAGTAACCATTGTATTTAGTTATTTTGTATTTACTTCTAAACCTGTTATTCATGCCACACACTGAAGTTATTTGCTTGGTGTAAGTGGAATGCACTTGTGAAGTTTTGTTATTGTCTGCATGTGGTGTGGATATATTTATAATAAATATAATAGCTTTGATAATAAATGTTCTTTAGGCTTCTTGTTAATGTCATTCAAAATTTTAGATTTGATTTATAAGGTATCACAACAAAGTATAACTTTATGTAAATCTGTGTATCAGTTGAGCAATTCTAAATAATGTTGTAATATGTGCTCAGATTTAAAATGTTCTATGAAGTCTCTGGATATATTTGTGAAAAACTTTTCCTCCTTCGTGTAGTAATTTTTTTTTTTTTTTTTTTTTCCAAAAATTTGCATTATGTTAATGTTCTTATCTGCTAGATTTTAGTTGACAAATTGTGTGTCTGCAAGAAATATTGTTAATATTCATTGCTGTAATCTGTATGTTCACATTATTACAATTTAATCCAAATTGTATTTATTTTGTTTAATGTAAGACTTCCACAATGCATATTTAAATGGAACTGAAATGTATATAGAAATGGAAATAAAATTTGGAAAACTGCTCCTTATCTGTAGTGGAAAGTGACTAAAAAAAGTGTTAATCTATGAAAGCTTTGTTTCTGAATGATAAAATGAAAGTGTACAGTACTATATCCATAATTTGAAGGCATTAATTCATTGTTTTGTACTATTCATTGAATAATTCAAAGAAAGATTTTAATACCTTCATTAGTATTTTTACAATTTTTATATGCAAGTTTTATTTTTTGTTATAGTAAAATGTATATGAAATTACATTCCTTTTCATTTTTAAATAACATTTTTATAAAAGTCATATATAGTTAAACCGAGTTTATTTAACCATAAACAATCATATAGCTGTTTTTCGTTTTTCTCCAATTTATTTTAAAATGCATAGTATTCGAGTAAAAATTTTGTCTTATAATTTGTATGGTTTTATACTTAATGTTCTTTTGTTTTCATTTAGAAAATTCTCATAGATTATATTTTGCTTAAGTGGTTAATTTTTTTCTGCAAGTTCTAACAGTGGTGCATATTGTGCCTTCTTGGCTTAAACTTGGCAATTGAACTTTGAGCTAATTTATAGTCTTATATTACATTTATTAAGAATGCATTTTCCGTCCAATTGAACTTACTAAAGACAATATGAATTATACTATAATTTGTGATGTTTTTCATACATGTTTCAAGTTGTTTATAATATTTCAGACATTCTGTATACCTTGAACAGATTTCATCCTGTCTTAAAAAATAATTTAGAAGGTAGTATAGGTATTTTTTCGTTTCATTTTATTTTAATACTTTTTGAGACGTTTATGAAATGATTCCAATTAAATTTGTTTTCAGAAATGACAGCAGGAGAATGAGATTAGAGGGGTATAAATTTTAAAGATAGTATAATCAAATAAATTTTCAACTTCAGGTTTTTAAATATTTTTCATTGCAATAATTAATATAAAAGTGAAAAAGTTGCTGATTTCATACTTTTATTTATGAGGTGTTTCTCAGCAGAGGAATCAATCAGAGGAATTTCTCAGCAGCGTTAGCTTCTATAATTTCACTTTAATTTGTAATCTGCATTATTTTTTTTTCTATAAAAGTTTTCTGATTTAAAGCATACATTTATTTAGATTTAAAAATTTGAATAAATATGTAAAAGTAATTTAAGCAGACAGTTCCATCATATATTTAAATTTTTGTTTTTAATTCTGTTTTAAATGCTGGTCTGTAGAAAACCTTGCCAAGTGTTAAAAAGTCAGTAAATTAATGTGCATAAGCAAAACATGCTGATTTCTTCTATGACCAGTCACTGTCATAACTGTTACAAAAATTTTTATTATCTTAATATCATTTTATAAATTACTATGGGATTATATCAGTTAAGCTCATTATCTCAGTAAGTATATCATATTTAAATGTATATATATAATTACATTTAAAACTTACAAAGAATAGTACAGGAATTCATTAAATGTCTTATTATGAATGCTTATACACATTAAATATAAATGGCTGGACAATATTACTATGAAATACTTTTTTATTTTTCTAGTGTGAAATTCTTCCATTTTTATTATAGAAATCAGTAAAATGCTTTATTCCAATGTATAGAATTTTTTAATGCTTTTTTCCCTGATCCATTTTATCTGTGGAAATTTGGTAAATATGTTATTTCCTTGCTGGTCGTTTTACATCAATTCAACTTATACTCCTCATATTCATCTAGTTAGTGCTTTAAATGATGCATAGAATATTAAAATTATTTTCCAATTATGTAGATAATTTGTCTTTCCCTTTTAATAAATTTGTTCAGATATATTGCTCCTTCTTCTCAGAAGTTTAAATAGAAAATATTATTTATGAAAATGAATATTTAAATATAGTAAAAACTTTTCCAACCAAAATTAGATTAAGAAAAAGGTAATGAACTCACATCAGATCCTCATCTATGCTATATTTTGAAGTTTTCTTTTAAAATCCTATTATATTTTTTAAATAAGGTTTTTTGTTTGTTAAATTTTGAATTATGTGTAGAGGAAATTAAACAATAATTAGATCTGAAAATTATTCTAATTGAAAGTAAATTTAAATTACGCTTTTCTTAGGCTTCATTTTTATGCTATTATTACTGTATTTATTTTTGTTGAAATGTTTCTTAGTGTTAACATAATCATACACACAGTAAAAGGAAAGTATGAGCACAGTGTTCTGTTAAAAAATTCTGAAATAAATTTAATCATTCATGATTGCAGCTTTGATAATGTCTTGAAAAGTTAGACTTTGGGCAAATGACTATGTGCATTTTGTATTGATTATACTTTTGTCTGTTTTGTAGTATTCAAAAGGCCTGAAAGAATTAAATTGTAGTTATGAAATAATTTAGCTTTACAGTGGAAGTATAAAATTATGAACTTTTATTTGTTGTATTGTTGATATATGTTGACAACGTATGTTTTCTTCAATTTGAAAGAATTTTTTGGTGCTATTTTTAGTTTAGTATGATAAACTGTGCTTTTTCTTAAAAAAACTGTGCATTTTTTTATTTTGTTTGTAACTTATAAGAGTTTTGAATATATGGATTGCTATTTGTGTTTGGTATGAAATAAGAAAAAAGAAGAAAAAAATCACAAAAAAATAAATAAATAAATAAATAATAAATTTTGCAATTTGATAGTATATATATATATATAAATATTTATATGTATTATATGTCTAACTAATCAAAACATGTTCTCAGATGGTTATAAAATGTTTTAAATTTCTGTTACATTTTATAATATAAAATATAACTATTATTGCCTGAGATGTATTTTATTTGTAGGCTGGGTTGTTAAATTTCTAAGTGCTGCCTGGTTGCAGTGTTTAAAGATCAAAGAGTCCTTGTAATATACAAATCCTATTGCATTTGTTATATAGCACTGATAAATTATTGGGCATTGTTGAAATGTGCGACTGCTTAGTATATCGATCTTTAATGTGAGTCAGTGTATACTGAGGGTAAATGTGTATAAATATTATATAAAAGTTAAATGCTTGTACCCCGAGAGGTCTTTAATATATATATGTGTGTGTGTATTGCTCTTAAATTTCTATTTTGCTATGTATCGGTATAATTATGTGGAAATTTATTTACTTGCTGATGTGTGTAATTAATGATGTAATTTTCCACAGTTAGTGGAAGGGACTTTGTATGGGTAAATCTGCATGTGTGACACTGAATTTTACAATGTATATTTTTTAAGTCAATTTTTACATGCATCTGAAGCATTTGTTTTTAATATTATTTGAATATATAATAATATGTTTTATTGAAATCAAGTTATAATTAATTTACATGATACAAAAAATTGTAAATTAAATGTTTGGAGACTGGGATTTTAAAATTTGTTAGCAGCTTTTTTAGTTCTGATGACATTATTTGCAATCATCTCATCTTCAGCCAAAGCTTTTACTTTCTGAGAAAAATTTATTTATAAAATTATAAAAAAAGGGTATATTATCGAACAAACCATCAGCTATTGTGAAATAAAAACATTTTAAATTAATTTTGAAATATGTTTTCTTTATTTAATATAAGATTTTCTGTTATAGGTACATCTTAGGTCTATAACAGCTTCCATGCTGAAATCACGTAACACCAATACACATATTTTTTAATTTATTTATTTGTATTCTAGGCTTTGACTGGTGTTCTAGTTCAAAGCAAATATTACAAGATATATTTTTGTAAGAATTATATTATAGAGAGGCAAAAATAACGTTGTTTGTACTTAAAAAAAAAAGTTTTTAAAAGTGGTTTCATTTTCTCCATATCAAGGGGAATTTTTTTTTAATATATATTTCAAAGCTTTTCTCCTATAACTTAAAAAAATTAGAGTGGCTGATCATTTTTGTGAGACATTGTATGCTAGTTATGACGAGAATCCTGGAAAACTCACATAACCTGACTTTTCAGTCACCGAGAATGGAACTGCAGACGAACTGTTGGTTCGTGGCTGTAGACATTGAAATATCAATTGGTTTGGTTTATTTAATAATGAAAAAACCTGCCAAGGCTATCTGCCTAAGGGGAGGTATTCCTTCTTGGAGGGAAACTAGCTCGTATAAATGTTACACATGAGGGAAACCATGAAAACACCCTTGCAGCCAGCCCGTTTGCCTGGAATCGAACATATATCGAAATTACCAGTGATTAGCAACTTTAAAAAGTGGGCCTGTACCAATATTGATCAGCTCAAAGAAGCTAAATCAAGTCTCTATCTTCCACCATTTCTCAAAGAGAAATTTGCTAATCTGCGATTACAGTTTACTGTATTTTACAGTTGAACTTGCTGTTTAAAAAACAAAGGTTATTGTATGACAATAAAAAGAATATCAGATTGTTTCAGTACATGTAGAAAATTTCTTTGAAATGAAAACCTCTGTAAGACAGAATTTTTGGATAGTTTTAACGCTTATTGTTTCACTTCATTTGTTGTTTACTAATGCAGTTTAGAAACTACCCATTTTAGGAAAATGGAAGTAATTTTTTTTTGGGGGGGGGCCTGAGTTGTCAGTGATTATTTGCTTTTAGTGCATTTAAATTGTAAGGTTACAAGTGAGATGTTGCTTGAACTTGAGTCCTACAACCATTATGGGTAAACTAGCGAGTTATCACTACATCTGAAAATAATCTGACAGAGACTTGTGAAAGTTTAAATAACCTGTTTGTTAAACTAACTTTAACATAAAGGACACAGCTTGTGCTACAAATAACCGCTACTTGTAGCTATGTAACTTAATCAAGAACAGGTATTTAAACATTGACAAATCTAAAACTATACAGTCAAATAAGTAAGCTAGCTGGCTCAATTAATTTTACAACTTATGCTTATGCTTTATGTTCACTACAGGCATCAACTTCTTAGAGTTTAAACCTGATCATTCTAACTTGCCATACAGCCATTCACGGTTGTAGAAAAAATTTAGGGTGCTATCACGCCACTCACCCGAAGGCAGAAATAAGAATCTGAGTGATCAGGCAATCAGAGCTTTAAGGTGGCAAATCAAGGCGGCATACACTAACATAATAATAAAATCATCTGAGTTTTGACTGAAGAACATAAAACTGCTTAGAGAGAGATTTCAAGATAATAATATCTAATTCTTGAGAAATCAGGGTATGAGTATCACTTGACCGGTACTAGACAATACGGTTGGATCCAGAGTGGTAGGCAGGGTGAGTTCAATTATTTACACTTTGTGCAAATAACACTAAAAGTCTTTCCTGTCCAGGCACTAAGTCCATATTCTTAGTAGTAAACACAAACACAAATTCACAAACATGAAATAAATCTTGGATAAATACTAGGATTAAATGCTTGATTAAATACTTCAATAAAATGAGATAAGTTGGATAAAAATATATACATATTTACAGCTACCACTTTACATTGTGGTGAAGTGACCTAGGTCGTTTCACAACGCTTTTCACAGTGGGATCATAGTTCGTAAGTTCTTTCAAAGTAGTGACTGGCGAATTCTTCATTTTTCTCAAAAAAGTTGTGAGCATCCATTAGGATCTGCTCCGGTATTGGTTTAATTTTTAAATCTTCATAAATAATCATATTTCTAACATACCAAGGCGCATTAACCATCGCTGTTAGTATTTTATTTTACAGGAGGTTAACTTTCCTTCGTTCAGTTTCTAACGACGTGTGGCCCAGGCCTAATTGGTCTAATAAGTGCTAAATACAGAGTATGTTTAATATTTAAGCTAAGTTTAGATTTCTGTCCTATGAGATTATAGAGAGGCATGTCATTTCTTTGTTGAAAAAGGAGAAATAAATTTTTTTTTAAAAAAATTTCTTGTTCGTGTAAAGGAGGAACTGCTGGCTGTTGTAAGCACTGTGTCGCTGTTGTATTCTATTGTGACAGGTAGTTGATTTTAACGTTCACTGATTGTAAACAAATGATTTCATATGTGTTCAACTTGGGATTTCCAGAAAATCTGTGCAGTCAAAAGTGTCTTTTTTTTTTTCCCCCCATGAAAATGATATTGAATCATTATATACTAAAAATATATTGATCTATTATATGCGTCTATTGTATTTATATCTATTATATACATAATATTACTAATTATCAGATGCAATTTTGAGAACATCAACAAGCAAAGCACTTAAAAATGAAAAAAGACACTTGTAATAGAAATATTAGTATTCTATATGTATTGTAGAACATGAATAATACCATGACCAAACACAACGGATTAAGTATTTCTTACCTCAGTACTTGAGAAAGCAATCCTGGCATATAACATGTAGTTAACTTTTGATTACATGATATTAAAAGCATTTTCTTTAGATTTGTCCTATGAGTGGTTAAAACGACTGAATACTGATAGTTCTCAGCTCAAATCCTGGTGAACAAGCTGGCTGTGCAGGGTTTTTTTTCTTTGAAGTTTTCTTTTGACTAGTTTTGCTTTTCTAAAGCTGTTTTTAATTATTAACTTTACATCTAAGCCAAAAATTCAAGAATAAGTATATTAAAAAGGTCTGCGTGATAAGTATTAATTAACTACATTGTATAAACTTCCTTGTCTTTGAATATGAAGCATTCTATATGAAAACACTGAGTCCATTCCAATCTAATAGAAGAATAAAGTATACTTATCAAAATTAACAGTAAAAATTTCTCCGTATTTATATTACACAAAGATTAGAAACTGATAGTAATTGTTTATAAAGTATAATTTTAGGTTTTAATGTTTTGGCAACATTGATAGAAAATTTGTAAAAAGAATGAGTTAAAAATGTATCTGGAATTCAGAGAGTTTTTTTGTTATGGTTTGGTAGAAGGTGATAAGATTTCTTATGACTGATTTTCTTTAATAAAGTTTTCTTTTTGTATATTGCCATAATGTGTTTTTGTTAGAAGTGGATGATTCTTTTGAGAATGTTATTTATATGCCAGTCTTAAAACCAACATTTGGTAACAGAGCGTGGTTGCCCCCTTTGTTAATAAACTTTCAGATAGAACATTGATGTTGTTTAGGCTTAACAAAATCGCCAATTTCTCTAAGAGATAAATTAGACTTGTATTATAATTAGTGAATATAAATTAGAAAATATTATTATAAATTTGAGTCATAGAGAAAAATTAAATGATGATAATTATCTTATTTTGGCAAATAGAATTGAAATTGAATTAAGAAGTTTAAAAATATGGAGAAGTGTGATAAAAGCTGATGAACCATCAAAACCATATAAAAAGCAGGGGCGTAGCTAGAGGGGGCATCTGTCCCCGGGCACACAATCCAAGGGGCGCCAAACTGATGTTACGACATTTTAGAATTAAATGTTTTCCATCCTTGGCAAGCAGTAGGGGGCGCGAAATCTTCAGTTGTCCCTGGGCGCTGAAAACCCTAGCTACGACTCTGATAAAAAGGATGATCTTAATTTCGAAAATGAAATAAAAACTACGGTAATATGGGATGATAATAACGCGATAGCAAGAAATATAATGAATCAAACTATGACAGCTCCACAAGCGTTAAAATATGCGAATGAAAAGAACGCAAAGAAGTTATGAGAGAAAATAAAAAATGAAATGGCAAGAACAGAAGATATTCAAATCAAATGTAGAATAGAATTAGCTCAACTGAAAATGAATCACTATATGATTATATGAATAGAGCTGTAATTCTGAAGAGTAAAAGTATTCAAGTTGGAGATGAAATAAGAGATAAAGAATTAATTTACTTCATACTAGAAGGACTTAGAAAGGAGTTTGAATTTGTTGTTAAAATTGTTAAAAGCAATAAAGAGAAAGATCTAGCTTTAATTAGACAAGCTTAAAAAAAAAAAAAAAAAAAAAAAAAAAAACGGAAGGAAAAAAATAAACAAAGAGTAAAAGAAAAAGAAGTAAGTTCTAAGGCAAAAGAAAACTGGATAAAGTCGAAATATGAAAGAAGATGCCTGAATTGTGGAAAATTAGGACATTTAATGAAAGAATGTCGAAATAATAATAATAGTATAAAGTACTTTTGCTGTGGAAAATTGGGCCACAATTCAACTGAATGTAAAATGAAAACTAAACAAGAACATCAAAAGCAGAGAAATTTAACAAATAAAACTTATAGAATGTCAAGCAAGGAAAGAGAATATGAATCAGCTACATGCTTATTTGAAGTATCTAAGAAAATAGAAAGCTCATATCTTAATCAAGATAGAAATGATGGAAAGAATAAAATAAATGAACAAGAGAATAGAAAAATTAAATGGATTATTGATTCAGGAGCCACATCTCACATGGCAACTAGCAAAGAAATATTTACTAATTTTAAAGATGAAGAACGACAAATAATGACAGCTGGGGCCATGATCAAATAAGTTGGTATTGGTAATATTAAAATGCAAAATGATAGAAATAAGAACATCTTGAGAGTAGAAAATGTTTTGCAAATCCCGAATTTAAGTGAAAATCTGCTGTCAGTATCAAAATTGTAAATCATGATTTAAAAATAATTTTTACCAAAAATAAAGCAGAAGTGATCAATAAACAGGGAAACATTCTATATATAGTAACAGAAATGGAAATAAATCTGAAGTTGAAGGAAATATTGTTGAAGAAGCTAAGATTCGTTATGTTAATGATGTAGTATGGCATCAGAGACTAGGTCATATAAATTATCAAAGGCTGATAGAAAATGAAAAAATAACTCATCGGTCATTGGATTAGAAAATGTAAAAATTTCTCAAAACAATTGTGAATCCTTGTACATTAGGAAAAATGACAGGCGAAACATCTTTATAAAAGTGTGAAATTTAAGCAATCTGAAGATATTTTAGAATTATGGCACATAGATTTAGTTGGACCAATTGAGAAATCAATAGATGGAAGCTTATTTTTTTAACAGTGGTAGATGATTACGGTAATTTCATATTTGTGATAACAATTGAAAAGAAAAGTGAAACTTCAGGAGCTCTAATCAAACTTATCATTCAAGAAGAAAGACAAACAGGAAAGAAACTAAAAAGAATTCTTAGTGATAATGGTAGTGAGTTTTTAGCTAAAAGTATAAAATAGTTTTTTTGAAAAAATGGGAATTAAACATGAACTTACAACTCCTTGTACTCCGAAAAGTAATGGAAAAGGCTGAACGTTTTGATCGTACTATAATTGAATCTGCTAGAACTATGTTAATTGATGCAGAATTACCGATAAAATTTTGGTCTGAAAGCGTTAAAGTAGCTGGCTGTACATGTGAATAACAGGAGTCACAAAAATGATAAAAGGTTTACACCATATGAACTATATAAAGGACGCAAGACTAACATTACTTATCTTAAAAGATTTGGATGTGAAGCATATGTTCATATAAGACGAGAAAAATGTAGAAGATAGATCTAAAAGCTCAAAAAGGAATTATGATAGGCTATAGAATGAAGAAAAAAACATACAAAATGTATATCCCTGAACTAAATAAAATTCAAGAAGTGAGAGATGTAAAATTTTATGAACAGAAACTTGGATCACCTTTACTAAAAAGAAAAAAAAATATTTAAAACTCGATAAATATCAAATATTAGAAGAACTTATTATTTTTTATAAGGAACAAACTAATGGAAATGTAAACAATTCAGAAATAACTGACAGATACTATACAGAACATAATACAACAGATGAAGAAGCTGAGAAATTTTTGCCATCCAACAGTGATGATGAACACGACGATAACAATTCATTGGAAAAGCCAACCGAGTATCCACAAATAAATGAAGAACCTGGAAATGATAGTCATGGAAATTCTGTACAGAAAAGACCAGCGCGAACTACGAAGCCCCCAGAAAAATTAAAAGATTATGTAGTATACAATACAAATGAAGAATTTTCTAAGACGTATGATGAAGCTGTAGAATCTGCTGAAAATGAATTTTGGCTACATGCAATGACAGAAGAACTGAGTTCAATGGAGGCTAATGAAGTCTGGGAATTAGTTGAAAGACCCATCGATTAGAAAGTTATTAAAAAACCGCTGGATATTCTCAAAAAGAGGTGAAAATGGTAATTTAGAAACAATTTACAAAGCAAGACTAGTAACAACCGGATTTAATCAAAGAAAAGGAATTGATTATGAAGATGGATTTAGTCCAGTAATGAGACTTGCAACCTTTAGAACATTGCTATCGATTGCAGTTTACAAAAACTACAAAATAAGATTTTTCGATGTAAAAACTGCATAGTTAAATGGATACTTAGATAAACCAATTTACATGGAACAACCACCTGGATTTATATCAGATCCGAACAAAGTATATCTTGTAAACAAAAGTATATATGGACAACCACAATCAGAAAATGCTGGTATGATGAATTATGTAAAGTTCTTAAAGAAAAGAATTTAACTAAAGTCAGATCCGTGTGTTTATATTTATAAAGATAAGATCAACTACTTTATCATAGCAGTATATGTGGATGACTTAATGGTGATTGGAAATTCAAATTCTGAGATAAATGACATCATCTCTCAACTATCTAAATCGTTCACATTACGAGAAGACACTAAAACACAAAATTTTTTAGGAATAGACATCCGACAAGAATCTGGAAAACTTATACTCAGTAAAGAAAACTATATAACTGAAATCTTAAAAAACTTTGAAATGGATGAATGTAAACCTGTCAAGACTCCAGGAATATTGGGTGAAAATCTTGATGACATAGCATCTTCGCCACCTGTGTCGAAGACAAAATATCAAGAAGCAGCATTAGGTTCAATTGATGTACTTAGCAACAGGCACAAGGCCAGACTTAGCTTTTGCTAGTAAGTAATTTGTTGAAGATATAATCAAGATCTCAGAGAGAAACACTGGAAAACTGTAAAGAGGATATTTAGATATATTAGAGGAACACAAAATGCTTGTTTAGTGTATACTTCAGACAATGGGAAATTAAATGCTACATCAGATGCAATTTGGTGTACCACTGAAGGTGGAAATTCATTTGGTGGTTATTTCATTAAATTAGGTAAAAATTTCATAAATTGGAAGTGCAACAAACAAAGAATAGTTGCTCTATCCACAATGGAAGCTGAACTTTTAGCATTCTGTGAATGTGCATGTGAAGTTAAATGGTACATCTTTTTACTTGAAGTATTGGGTCAAGATGATCTAATTGACAAACAATAGAAATTAAAACAGACTGTCAAGCATTAATAGATTGGATTAAAAAACCAAAACAAAGTAGCAGTTCAAGGCACATTAATAGAAAATATTTCTTTGTAAAGTATGAATATGAAATGAATCAAATCATTCCTCAGTTTATGTGTTCACAAAATCAAGAAGCGGATATTTTAACAAAGTATCTACCTAGGATGAAATTGAAAGATGAACTATTAAAGTATGGACATGACTGACTGATTAAAATTATATCTTTAAATACAAATAAGGGAGGAATTGATAGTATTTGTTTATAAAGTATAATTGGTACTATTCTGTTTTGAGGGCCGTAAAAAAATTGCAGCGAAAATGTATGCGCAAACGCACCCATTTAAACAGTGCGCCAAATCTAGCATGCGCGCTGATTTCAGATTGCGTAAGTTTACATAGTTCTATATTTCTTAAGACGCCATTGAAATACTAGTTTAATTTTTAAATCCTTTTTTGATTTTTTTCCCCCTTTTCTTTTAATCCTATGGATTTCACAATTTGGGAATTGCCCATGACGAAAAGTCGGCAATAGAATTTTGGGTAAAGTGCAGAATCCACTGCTTGACGCGCTTTTAAGAACTGCACGTACTCGGTATCCATGTGCACATCGACCTATTTTCACTTAAAAAATCCTAGAATTGCACAAAAATGGCACTGCACACACCCTTGACTTTATCTATGTACACATCGAGCTAAAATCCAATTGTTTTTATCCTTGTAAAAAGCGGCGAACAAATAAGTGAGCGATTCTGCACTTTACCGAGAATATTTTCAAAGAAAAGGCATCATTCATTATAGAAAATTACGTTTAAACAACGAACGAGATGAAATTATGCTTTAGCGATAAGTCGGTAGCGAAATAGCGATGCAAGCAGTGGCGTAGCGAGGGGGGAAAGGGGTGTATGACGCCCCGGGCGCTGCTCGCAGAGGGGCGCCAAATGATCTCCAAACAAGATTTTACGGAAAATTTTCAGTTTTTATTTTGATATATTTCTGGAAAATATATTTAAAATTAATAATTATTGTAATATAATTTTTTTCATTATTGATTTATCATTTAAAATGTGTAATAAAATGTTTGCAGTACATCAACCAAATAAATATCTCCGCATACAAAACGTTCTTTCTCACCAGTTTATTTCTCTAAAATAGAGATATATTTTTATTTTTTTGAAACGAAATGCACGTATAGCTCCCGCTTTTTATTTTAAAACAATAACATGACTTTGTCCCGAATTTTTCAAACATATCCAGTTTGCAAAAACCGATTTCATAGTCTGGGAATGACATTGTGGGAAACTCCTAACGTTTCCGCTACAATGATGGCCTTCCTCGCTACCGATTCAACTAAGTCATCTTGCTGAGACATCGTATATTCACTGCTACAAAGCATTCAACGCGTGTCAGTTGTTTTTAATGTCCTACTACAAAAGGAATGCTTTACAGAAGAATTCCTTTTGTAGTAGCCCCGGTCTTTTGTTCTTGATGGACCTGCGTAGGCGTCAGAGTGTCTTACAGTACACATCGGAGTTAATGGTTTTTCTGTGCTCGAGGAATTCCACAAGTAGCGGACCTTGAACGCCGAAGACTGTGAGCAACACCTTGCCTGTTGACGGCACGGCTTTGAACTTTTTAGGGGGAGGTGACGACGCATGCTTCCACTGCATGCTGCCCCGCTTTGTCTCTGGCTCTCTGGCACCAGGTCTCATTACCTGTGACAATCCGCTCCATGAAAGTGGGGTCTTCCTGATACTGAAACAGATGTTGCAGTGCTAGCCCCATACGCAGTTCCTTTTGCTGGTCGGTGAGCTGCTTCGGAACCCAAGCGGCACACACTTTTCGATATCGCAACCTGTCATGAACAATTGTCCACACGGTTCCATAGATGACTTCCACCTTCACCGCCAACATTCGCAATGTGACACGCCGATCACTTCTCACTAGATCGTCCACCTTGTCGATGAGATCGCTCGTGATGTCAGTGTTTACCTAGCCTCTCGGGTCATGACCCACACTCTTACGGCCTGCACGAAAACGGGCACTCCATTTTCTGACAGACTTGTCAGAGACACATTTCTCCCCGTAATCCGGCGATGAGTAGCTGCTGGTTTCTCACCTTCCGGTGTCAGAAATCGGATAACACCTCGCTGCTCTTCAGCCGTCGAATTTTGCAACGCGAACGCCATCCTGTCCTCATACGGACTGCTGCATCATTTGGACGCCCTTTTGATAAGAGCCTGTGCTCTTTATGCATCTTTCCTGCGCATGCACCGATCCCAGTCAGAGACTTCAATCGCATCCCGAAATGTCTCGTTACGTTCTCCCATGACGGAATATGCAAATATTTAACTGTTACGTTGTTACGTCGTTTCGTACCTTTTCATTTAATCACCTCTTGTATTATCAAAATGTGACTTTCAAAAATTCTTTTTTTTTTATGGTAAAATGTGAATTACATTAAAAGAGTATAATTTTATTTTAATTCTTTTATGAAAATAGTTAACCTAAAAGACACACAGATCTCATTAACATATGAAAAACATAGCTCAAGTAAGGGAAAAAAAAAGGATTCAAAGACTTTTTAAAGCAAAAGAAAAGAAAACTGTACACCATAGTTCTATTAGCAACTCGAAATATATATTGTGATATATTCTAAAAGCAAAATTATATAATACATATGATATAAATTATGATATATAACAAATATATAAAACTCTATAATGAATAATGATCATAACTGTATAATAAATGCGAACACACATTATATCACGGTATATAACACTGCTGTGAAAAGAAGAATATTTGATTAGAAATTTACCTTATATATATATTTGATAACACAGAACAGTAAAACATAAAGATGACAAGAAGTTATGAAGACAGGTGTTGCAATTTAAGAAACACCAAGTTATATGTTTAAGTTATTGCAATATCATTAGACACCATAAATAACCATATCATAAGATACTATAACTTAAGACAATATCATAAGACATATTACCAAGATAAATATAATTTTTTCCTTCTTTTACATAAAAATAAGTTTTTGTTAAAAAATTTTAGCAGTGAATGCCAAAGCAAATTTATTATCGTTGCCTTTGATGCAAGGTGACGCAAAGATAAACTTGATTTAACAAATTTCTGAAAACATTAAAATCAAAAGTTTTAAATTACAGCAACAAGAAAAGAGAAGAAGAAAGAGCTGGAAATATAGTCTGCATGATGCATAAAATATGATCAAATCTATTTGTTAAATACTTAAATTAATGCTTACTTTCAGAGATTAGCTAGAGGGGAACAGTTTTTATATATATATTATTCTGAAAAATATCTTAAGATTGATATGCAACACTTGTTATAAATGAAGATATTTTTACCAAAGAATTAACATTATTTTCAGACTTTACTCTCACACTAAATGTAGAAGCTAGACAATTTGAATATTTCGTCTAGCCTCTTCATTTAATGACTTAACGTATTTTTGCTCCTCCGAAATATTTTAATGACAAATTTATTCATTCATTTACAATGTTTATCAGATACTATCAAATCAATATGTATATCTGGTCTTATCAAAGGTTTTATTATTCTTAGCATTTTTATGCGTACTATAATTTTCTTAGTAAAAGTGGGCCACCAGCGGCCGAGCGGTGAAGTCACTGAACACTGGTAGCTCGGTCCGAGGTCCGAATCCCGCAAACGGGCTGCCTGCATGGGTGTTTCCGTGGTTTTCCCGATGTGTAACGTGTATACGAGCCTTAGAAAGTCTTCCACGAAGGTATCCCTCCCATTAGGCAGGTGACAGGTGACGGAGGACGGGGACGCCTGGCGTATAACATAGGTAAACAGGCATATGTCCCACGTCCTCCACTATCTCGAAGAAGCAACTCGCTGGAGCCCCGTGAGGCTGCACCGGGAGCTTACATAGCCATACAGGTGCTAGATGTCGGGTAGTTTTTACATAGGACGTTGTTAATAACACAAAGTAACTTAAAAAAGAATATAAAGGATAGCATTAAAACACTAAAACACTCATATAAGCTGAAACACATAGATATACAAAATTAAACGTAAAAACATAAAAACACACTCGTAATTACGTAACATAAAGACATAAAAACACACACGAGAATACATATCATGACACATAGAATACATATGGAAACACGTAGAGCACATAAATGCAAATATTACACACAGAAGAAACATATGAGACACAGTAACGTGTGCGTAAAGCAGTAGCGCTGTGCGGAAATATGCTCAGTTTCACATAATACATAATGTACATACTTTCATTAGGGGCTTCTGTTGCATGAATTACATATTTCGTTGCATACACTACATTCGTGCATTGTACGGATATTATATATTTCGATTTACGATAACACATCATTCCATTGGGTGCCCAGTGCTTTACACTGATAAACATGTCAGTAACATTATTTCTGCAAGTTGGTGGCTATTGAAAGCAGATGTTAACACGAGGCTCGAAATTGAACTCCCATTAGGCAGATAGCCCTCGAGGCTTTGCCGTAATTAAATAACCTAACCTAGCCTTGGTAAAAGTGGTGCTGTATGCAAACAATTACATACTGGCAATGAAAAATTTGAGATTG